TGGGCTCTGGTGGTGACAGCTGTGATAGGCGCTCACATTTGGCAGTTGAGGGAGCGTGAAGGGGGTAAAGATGATGGACGTTACTCACCGATAAACTCGATTGCCTCGCTGAACCAGGAGCTGATGTCGGCTTTGTGGTTGTCCTCCACCGGGATGCTCTTGTAGAGGAAGGAGTCCACAAAGTGGTTGGGACAGTTGGCCGAGACGTTGATCAGAGCGGTGATCCCCAACATGTCCAGCATGTCTTTTCTTGAAGCATGGTAAGCACTGCCAAGGTACAGGAAAGGCAAGATCTCCACTGGACCCCCCTACACAGAAAGAAAGTAAACAAAGCAACCCCATTCAGTCAGCACCAAAACACTACAACAGGAAGTAAGACACAAACGTGTGCTATTGAGTATCTGTGGTGTGTACTCAATCAATTAAAGATACTGACCTGGTCATATAAAGGAGTATTGCATGGACTACAGCTTGGGTCTGCACTCTCAGGATGGCTGGAGCTCAGGGGCAAACTAAGCCCCTGTGGAGGGGAGGCTCTGGTACACGTATCTGGATACTCTGTGGAAAAGGTCTCAAAACCACCTGCGAAGGGGAGAAACAATACATGTCTATCAGATCACAGCACCGAGGCACAGCCACGTTTAAATATGGGTCTCCAACAGGGTGACAACTGCTCACGGGTCTATTTTGGAACATTGTTTACTCCAGCACCAGCTGGTATGGTGACAGCTGTAATCCGCATTTGTTGCCCCGTTGTTAGGATACAGTGAAATAATTGCGTGAGGCAGTAAGAGACCTGTGTTTTTTCATCTCTCCCTTACCTTTGAGAATAAAAACCCTGGCTCCACAGGGGTCGCGACGCAGGGCCGTAACAGCGAGCATCAACGTCCCGTCTTTCTTCGCCTGGCTTAAGTCCGAACTGCGGTCGTCGAGCAGCACGACCGACTGGTACTCCCCGGACAGGAGTCGGTTCCTTGTGTCCTCGTTGGGGACAATGTGCTCAAGTCCTAGACCTCCCCTGGCTCTCCGGCGCACTATGGTGCTGAAGCGCACGTTGGTAGAGCCCGATATGTGGGACGAGTTGAAGGACAGGAAGGAGCGGCAGTCCAGCACCAGGCAGCCCGGGACCTCGTCCTCCAACAAGCAACGGAGGGACTCACAGTGGATGGTGGGGACCTCCATTATGACCATAGTAGGACGGCGGGATTTAAATAGTAAATCCAGATACATAAAGCTTGTACGGCAGTGAAACAGAAGTTTAGGTTTCCCCAAAAGTAATGTTTGAAGCGGCGAGTCCTTTGTTCCGGCTATTTGTTCAGAGAAAATAAAACGGTTTAAACAAAGTTTTAAGAATATCGAAGCTAGTCCTTTCCTCTTGTTTGAGTGTATCCGGTAGTTTTTAGGTTCTTCTTTAAAAGTTTAGTATATATAACTTTACAGTGAGCTGCTTCTGCCTCTGAGCGCTTTGAAGAGCGTTTATATACGGCTCGTGCCTGTGAATGAGAAGGCACTAACGTCAGGTGGACCGCCCTTCTTGGCTTCCTGCCAGCACTGCAGACGTCATTCCCCCCCCCCCGTTCTCCTCCCTCCCGACTCTCCTCCCCTAGAGCAGGAAGGGGCTCGTGCACATGCTGGACATTTCTTAACGTGCGCACAGCACGTACGCGGGCACGCAATGTCAAGAACGTTTTGACTGGGACACTGGAGTCTATTTTTGTTTTCGTTTTATCTTTTATAAACGCGTGTAGAATTCATGAATCTTATGTTTCCAAATTACCAACCGTTTGCGTAAAATGTCCGTGTGTCAGCAAATAAGGAATTTGCCAAATTTTCCATGATGTTAGTGTTTAATTAGATTTCTATTTTGCCTCTTCAGCTGAGAGTTGACAAATAACAAGATAATAAGTAAATATAGGCCATGGGGGCCATAAAGGTTTATTCTTTGTTTTTATTAGCCAGAGGTACATAGTGTTCAATGCCCCGAGAGCAAAGGCTAACCATAAAAGTTAATCACTGTATAGAAATCTGAAGTCCAGTAAATTTCCACATGCTGAGAAACAAAACATGGTCTGCCAGGAAGACAACAGCAGATGGAGATCTCTTGACCTGCCCCCTTCTGTTTCATTCGTGGCCTAAATCAAAACGGAGTTTTTGACCACCAAAAAAAGTTTATTTTAAAAATCAAGAATGATGAGCCTGCAATCACTGTGGGAAACCCTTTTTGATTCGTTCATTCGTGTGGTTTTCTGACTCATGGGCAACACTGCAGTCTCATAATATGGAAGCAGGAGGATCATTATTGACAGACAATAGGCGTCTAGTGACAAGAGGGGGTTTTGAAACTGCAAAGCAGTCATGCCGGCATTGTTTTGTTGTGAAATAAATGTTTACTCAGCAGACTTGAAGACGAGTACTGTTGGGACATATCTTACAGTACATACAGACATGCAGACACACACATAGAGAGAGAGAGAGAGAGAGAGAGAGAGAGAGAGAGAGAGAGAGAGAGGATGAGGGGGAGGGGAGGCTTTAAAGACATAAACTTAACCAATCACAACAAAGTGTAAAAACTTTCCAGCCGGTTTAACCTCACAGTCCTGTGAGATGAGTCAACTGTTTGACACATGCTGGAATGTTACACACTATGGAGACGGGTTAAACGTGGCTCTGAAAACACTCTTTACCAAACATTTTGTCCTCAAATCCATCTTCCCTCCAGTCACAGGGCGATAGCTTTATGTGGTAGGAAAGAAATCAAACACCTGGTGACGTTGTAGGCAATAACAGCTAGAAGGGGCCTGGTGAAGCAATTGTGTATTTCCATGAAGTAGAAAAGGGCCATGATAACCAGCAAATAAGACCATGTATGATTGAAACCAAAACATTCATTTCATTTAACAAAAAACTCTTCTTCTATAAGTGTGGACATTTATCCGCACAAATGTCCTCTCAGAATACAAACCTGTCTGGGTGTGTCTGAGTGTGAATATTTGCATATAGCCTGAGTTATTGCTCTGTTTTGGAGTTCCATAATTATGGCCCGTAACCAACCGTAGCTCTCTCTCACGCAGAAAGGGAAGTGAAACAGAGGACGACACAGAGGCATTTTCTGCGGTCCGACCTTGCTGTTACTTGCTGTCATCCCTGCCTATTTACTGTCATTGTCACTACGGGCAACAGCTGAGCCATCAGTGGGAAAACACAGGGCCTATCCTGTCTTCTAGTGTCTCGACAACAAACAAGTTATTTGAGACAAAAACGTTTAGTTTCATCTACAGTCTATTTGAGTGTGGGGAGAACAAAAAAAGAAAACATGGGAAAAACCTTAACTGATGGAGATAACATATTTTTTCAACATCATCAAAGCATACAGCTCTCTGTTTCTGGGTTATGATGGGAACATAGTTGAAAAATACCTCTGTATCAGTTACATGAAAATGGATAACCGTAATGGGAACATTTAGTAATGTTGAAACTTTAAACCCACACACAAATTAACTTGCCAATCTTATAGTCAACTTACCAAGCACTACACGTTCTACCCTGTTACCCATTTGCACTAACAAGTAATACATGTTGATGAATAATTTGCAAGCTTTTCTGACAATGTTCCAAGACTTTTTTGTATGTCATTCAAACAGTGTAGCTGGTGGGATTGGGGCCAATGGGGGCATTAGACTTCACCACATGAATTTTAATAAAAAACGTCTCACATGGTTTATGGTCCGCTGTTTGTCTGCAAACTTAAAAAACGGTCCAGAATGCACAGCAGTTACTCTGACCACAGGTTGGTAACACTTTACTTTAAGTAGTACTTAATAAATCATTTATAATGCACATGAATGTAGATGTAAGCAGATATAAGGTATAAGATATGATATCATATGTATAAGAATCACTCACAACTATATTATGTTGTTGTATTACATTATATTGTCAATCCCCAGTTGCATCAGCTAGGTTTCACATGAGGAGTTACAGTAACAGATACATTTATAAACACTTCAAAATGTGTTTTCAACTACGCCTAAATTATATAGTATACTACTGTAAGCTACTATTTGGTGCATATTTATTATATTGGTCATATAAATCTATATATGTCTTTTTATACTATTTTAGGATGCCTTTTGAGTATCTGGCCAAGGAATAACAGATGGATTACGCACACATTATTTTAATGTTGATAAAGATATTCTTTTAAGCCTATACTATACTGTATTACTGAGTATTACCCTAGACCACCCTACAATGTATTGATTGCCCAGGTGCTGCATATGGAAAGTGACTGGTTACATCTGGTGAGAAACATCTCTTCTCTCTATGATATTCATGTGTTGTGTACATGGTCCCGAAAAAAATAATGTAATAAAACGGAGAAAAAAAAAAGCTCCGAATTGTCACAAGACCCGCTCTTTGTTTGTATTATTTTAATCGCTTCTATTATGTTTTTTTTTAAATACTAGAAAGTTTTCAACGAACGTTTATTAACACAAACCTGATAAAAACGTCGCAGCCGGAAGTAGAATCAGAGCGAACCGGAAGTAGCTTTCAGCCAATCGGCTTTTGCAAAGCGTACTAAGCTGACGTCAGCCCGGTACCGATGAACAACCGGTAGCATTGAAGAGAGCTCTGTGTTAGCCCTTTGTCCGCTAATCCCCCCCCTCCCTGTTAAACGTGCTAGCATCATGCCTTTCGATGTTAGGAGGTGAGTACGGAGCTTCCGTTCATTTTGGGATGAGGTATGAAGGGATCGATGGCGGTGTTTTCACAGTCTGAATTAAGGGCTGGCAGAAGCATCGCTCACTAAATGAGCGGGTCAAAGTTGTAACAGTGGTGTTTAACATGTGGCATGAATGGGCCACATCGTCGCATGGGGTGCAGAGTTTGTGTTGACTCCGTGGAGTGATGTTCAGGTACGCTCACAAGAGTTTTTTTTATGTGAGGGTTCCTGGCTGCGCATGTGCAGACGTCCTCATCCATCCCCCGATGCGTCCTAATGTTTGTAACACGTGAAGCCTCAGGGCATAGTGACGGTCACATTGTTTTACGAAACAAACGTGATGGCCTGATCTAGTCTTCTTCACAAATCCATGCTCTATAATCATCACAGTACCCTTTTCTGTGTAAAGGCATTCAGATTCATTAGCTACCAATAAACAGTCAAAGACACGCAATACACATCCAGCAATACACCTGACGATTCCACTAACCTATAGATACCGTGGGTTATCAGACACAGAGACAATAGTCACACCTTCGGGGCTGTTGGAACTGTCAATAGAGCACGCCCTTATCAAAATATAGGAGTGTGGGCACTTCCTAATTTGGGCAGTGATACTGTACTGACTGGTAGTCTGTCAAACTCTTGTGGTCGCAGCCACATATCCTTCCATTTGATCAGAAAGTAAAGTACAACTGCAACCAACAATTTATAATTTCACTCGTTTTAAAGCAACAATTCTAAACATCTTCTTGTTCCAGTTTCTCCAATGTGAGGCGTTGCTGCTTTTCTGTGTTTTGTAGAACTGTAAATCTAACATGTTGGGGGGGGGGGGTTTGGGCTGTTGATCGGACATAACGAGCACCTTGAACACGGTGGTCAGTCGCAGCCCTGGGTAGCACACAGGAGACGTCTGTCACAGTTACTCTCGTCTTGAATCTACCAACATACAGGATCTGGCGTAACTCTCGTTTGCATTGCAGCAGCAGATGACCTATGTGTGAGGGTTGTGTGAGAGCGGGTGTGTCACAGGGTTACCAAGTGGTCATGTCCCGTTCAGAGGCTTCTCTCACTCGATCGTACAAAAACCTGCATTGCAACAGCTGGAATTAGTTTGATTGACCAACTAACTAGTTCAGAAACACACGGGGGTTAGTCGCCAGCGTGAGAGTGTGTAGCAACATAGATTACTGTAGATTACACCATGAGCTAGGGCAGCGTGTATTCCCAGAATGCTATGTTGTCTTTGACGACTAAATATATTAATCAACACCAGCAGTTGATTGACTATAAAAGTGCTTCGGCTGGTTTTATTCCTTTTCTGATTGTCAACAAATCGCGTGGAAAGACCAGCATTGTGTTAATGTTAATGTACCTGTCGTTACTTTATGCTCGCTGTCTGTGTCTCTCACAAATATATTGTTTTTATTGTTAAAGAAAGCTTAGTCATTTCCTAAAACAGCTGGGTATTGTAGTTTTTAAGAAAACATTACTTAAACTGGTGTTAATGCATTTGTTTAGGACTATTTTCAGCTGTGGATTAATACACGTTTGGTGTTCTAGGGCGTTTGCAGCCGCAGAATTGCTTTGGTTGCTTGTTAGTTGGATCAGTTAATTGTTGGTTTTCGACTCTTTGTTGATGAAAATAGAGAAATATAGAATATCACCGACTTTATCCTTTAAAATGTACTTAAAATATTTGTTTGAAACAGAGTGACTGCATTCACATCCATAAACCAACCATCTTAGGAAGAGTTTTCTTAAAATGCTTCCTCTATACACATCTTGTTGATGTGTTATTACTAAACGCATATCGGACTGGATGTGAATGTTCTGAAATGCCTTCCCCCACGACACAGGACCTAAAATGGTAATAACACTGGAATAACATAGCTGAATGTATTGTCTTCCTGTGCTGCTCTTGACTGGTTCTTCAGCAGTAATATAGACAAAGATCCGCTTCTAATGATGAGGATAGAATGACATCAGCTCATCTGAGTGAATAACTGAAAGGATTTTATCCCCAAGTTTAATTGACCCTCAGATTATGTCATTTATTGACACATGCGGAGTTTGGTTTTGCGCTAACCTGATGATGTAATGTGTTTGCTCCTCGAATAATCAGACCACGGTGACTTCAGTAAGGGAGCTCGGTGTCAATAGATGCCATGTCTTTCAATCTTGGCCGTGATGAGCGACTGTTTGCTGTTTTGATACTTGACGTAAACTTCCGGCAGGTGATTGAATTGAAGCCCTACGTAAAAGAGAGGCGTAGGCACATGTGCAGCTTATAGCTCGTGATCAAAAGTGAGAAGAACGTTCATCATAAACATCCGTTATCTGCCTTTTGCTGCTGCAATACATAAAAGAGAATGAACTTCTGACTCACCATGACTCATTTGGCGAGGCATACGGTCTATTTCGCACTTTCTTGAAAAGCGGCCCTGTGGTGTCAACAGAGGGATGCTGGTACACCATGTCCTCACTAATAACACGCGAGCCCTCCTTGCAGAAGACTGAGCAGTGACGGAGGGAGGTGTGTTGACTGTAATTCAGGAAATTACAAACATCAGCAACGCACCGAGAGCTGAACTCTGGAGAGTGAGCTTTAGTATTCACGAATACAAAGTGTTCTGAGCAGAGAAGATTAAGGGAAACTGAGTTCTCATCCAACCTGGAAATAAGTGAGCCAGAGTGTATTCGATATGTTACGTGAACTATTTAATTATATTAAGTATTTAAGAATGATGCATTTCAATCAGGACATTTTAAATCATCATGATGCGTTAAAGAAATACTGAATGTATTTCTTCACAAAACAACTTCATTTTTTGCATTTCAAATGCTGCCGTATCATATCTAAGTTTAATTGAATGAAGATATATTGATGTCGTATATTTAAAAACAACTGGTGTAATACAAATTACGCTTTACTGGAGTTATCGTATATTTTATTTAAATAAAAATGTGTAAAAAGTGCATTAACGTCTAGTTGTTTTTTATAATTGTTTCGCTGTAGATGAAATTAGTTCCTCTATTGGTTGTTTTATTCTGAAGTCAAGGATAATGTCAGAAGTCTCTTTTTTTTTTTTTCCTTCTGGGCATTTTCCCTGAACCAGTAGTCTGACTTCTCTACCTCCAGTCTGTAGACGTCTTCATCGTCTCTCGACATCAGTCCTACAATTGTGCTGTCGTCCGCGTATTTCACAATCCTGATGAAATCGATGGACAGACTTTGAACTCCCGTGTTAGGGTTGACTGTATCATCTGTGGACCGGTTTGGGTGATAGTGCTGCGATGCCATATTGGTATATTTGCCCTTAACCTGAAGTGTAATTCAGACCGTGTGTCCAGATATAACAAGACTGTACAGTAACATCCATCGGAGACTATTTTTACAGTTCACATGCTTAGCATCGGTTTCCATCTCGCGTCGCGACTGACCAGACGAGTGAGATTTAGTTTCCTCACACGTATTCGAATTTAGCAGTGGGAAAAACTGTGACTGCTAAAAATAGGTGTTTGTGTGATCCTACAGCAAGAAGTGAGGATCCTCAAAAGTGGTGGCAAGGTGCGTGCAGTGTGCAAAAATGTACATGATTTTATACGTACATGGCTGGTTTTTGTGTGATATGATACAACCAAGATCTTTTTAAAATGCATTAAAAGTGACAGTTAAGGTGAGCATGCAATCCTTGAACTGAAGTCAGAAATATGGAAATCATCAGAACTAGTAGACTTTGGAGAGGACGGGGGGAAAGAGACCCTCCCTCTGCACACTAGAGCTTTACATCCAGGAAGTGTGTTACCCTCGACGTTATTATGATCCTGAAACAGAGACCAAGGGGAGCTGGCTGAGGTGTTTAGGATACAGGGGGTCCTTGAGCGCTAGACGAAAACAAAAGGAGTGAAAGTTGAGGCAAAACAAGAGAAGCAGCGGGATCTGGGCTGGACAGGAAGCCGTCCCTCCCACTTCCTCCCCCTGTCCTGCTACGCATCAGCTGGGATTATTTCACCGACCGCTCTCGGTGGAAGGAACGCGAACAGATGTGAGTGTGTTGGGATGGAGATGAGTGAGCGTGAGAGTGAGGAAGAGGGAGCGGGTGGGGTTGGTCAGCGATGAAGTTTGGGGTCGAAAATGTTTCACTGCCCAAAAAGGACATGTGCGAGAACTCATGAACTTAAATAGTTTTGGTGTTGAGTAGCAGGTATTTCCCCCCCCCCCCCCCCACACTTTTTCAGCTTTTTCAAGCTGAGAAACAATATTTCATAAGAGAGTGGATTATGTCAGGTTGCGATGATCCTCCTCAGCTTCTGATTCACACACAGTCTGAAAAGTCAAAGCGAGAAATGTCAAGTTGAAGATTTAAACGAGAATAAAGTGGGATTGTGCCAGCTTGAATCCTTCACTGCTGGTGTCGCTGTATGTAATTGTACAGTAACTTCCAGAAGAGAAAACTATATAATTTAAAGTTGTGTTACTGCAGTTGTGTTTATGATTCAAGTGTGTCTCTTTTCACTGGTGTGTGTGTGTGTGTGCGTGAGTGTGAGAGTGTGTGTGTGTTTGTGTTTGTGTTTTGTCGGCTTTGTGTTTTCCTGTGTATATGTTGGTTGAGCGTCATAGACCTTTGTTGAGGTTAGGTCAGGATCACAGAGCACACATTCAAACGAAGAGGTGTTACTCTGTAAAATATGTGTGTGTGAGTGTGTGTGTGTGTGTGTGTGTTGCTGGGTGTCTGGACCTGTTGTGTATAGTGGCGGCGGTCCAGAACTAACATTCCACCACTCTTTCGTAATATTGCGCAGCCTTGTTGGTACAGAGTGTTCTTCTCTTCTCAGCACGTAGTGTTTACATTTTCTTTTCTCTTCTTTTTTTTTCTCACTCCCCTTTCTCTTTCTTCCTTTCTTTCCTCAGATTCGATATCTACAGGAAAGTGCCAAAAGATCTCACCCAGCCCACATACACGGGAGCTTTCAGTGAGTAGTCCTTCACCCACAACAGGCCCAGATTATGAGCGTTATTTGTGGGTGTTTCTTATTTGGATATTTTTGTTTAATCAAGTTTTAGTTGCCCACTCGTCCACATATGTATGTTGGGTTAATCATGTAAAATGTATACAAGTAAGTTTGGGCCAATGAAGTTCTATTCCCCATTCAGTGTCAAACCTAAAATACACACACTTGATTGATACCACTCTCATGTCTGCACTTAAAATATGAAACTACCGCCAGTTGACGGTGGGTTTAGCTTAGCACAACGGCTGAAAACGGAGGGAAACAGCTAGCCTCGTTCTGTGCGAAGGTAACAATCCTCCAGCCGCTTGTAACAAATTTACACGACAAGTTTTATTGCTTTTACACCTCCATTAATGCGAGTATTAAACAAGTGAGATATTGATGCGATAATTAGTGAGCTGGTGGTCTGATTTAGCTGTTTCCAATTTTTGTGCCAAGCTTAGCTAAGTAGCTATTGGTTCCAGCGTCATATTAAGACCACAACTTGTTGTTTTGACACGTCAGCTACTACGATTACTGTTTAGCATGCTATGTCATTTAGGGAGGTGGCTAAATTGGAAACAGTTTAGGCAGGCCAGAACAGCTGTAGTTCAAGTACCTGCCTGTCCCGGCGCAGAGGTGCGTCCTGAGCACAGGGAGTACCTGTTACAGCACAAACTAGTTTGGTAAGAATGTTAATGGCCATCGCCTCAGGCACCTGAGAGAAGAAAAACCAGTGGCAATCTGAATCGGGTCATGTGATTTCCTGCTTGTCATCGATATGTAATCATGGAGCTGTATTGATTATTCACTTCATTGAAGACAAAAAAAGACCCAATGACACACCTTTTGGCTCCACTTAGTCATCTACTAGTATTGGTTATTCATTGGTCAGCTGACGAACAGAATGACGAACCCCAAAAACAAACTTGATGACATCACGGATAGGCAGTGCTGTCACTGGATAGTGGACAGTTTAACACGGATTACAAACACCTTCCTGGATCACAGGGAAGAGAATGGCTTTGCTAAAGATATACACGCGGGGGTTTTTATTTGTCGCCCATGAGGAAATGGATGGAAGTTCTTCCTGTGCACAATCAACACCCTTCCTGTCTCCAGCCACTGTCTAGGGGTGAGGGCATCGGGTTGATTTGGATATTAGACTGTTACTGCTTCACCCTCGGCGGGTCGACTCACATCAGGGCTCGTGTGGTTCTGAGACTCCCCTCTTCACAAAAGGCCGAATATTTGACCCCGTCTGCTTTTGTTCTGTTTTAGGGCCCCATTCCTTTTGGGTAAAATTTTTACGGTACTTACTTTGGACAATAACAGTGGTCTCTGGACATAATGTATGTTTGTGTGTGTGCGTGTGAGAAAATGAGCCTTGGGCAGTGCAACAATCTGAAACGGTGTGATTCATGGTGTTACTGTGTCCGATCTTTGTGTCACAAGCTCTCTGTTGGAATTAAGCAACTTTTTGAGCCCGTTTCCTCACATGGTGTGTGAGCTCCAGTTAAAATCAAGACCGTTCACGTGAGGTCTTTTGCAAATCATTCGGCTTGTCAGTATTTCCGTTGTGGAGCGGTTTCAAACGGTAGCAGCCCATCACGCTGATCTTTAGTAATCCCCTTCCTTTGAAGCCCCGGGGAAGAATTAGTCTTCTTATGAACCTGAATCGGTGACCTGTGTGTCATAGCGACACTCCCTATTGTTTGTTGGTTAAACATTACTTTATGTAAAGCCTCCACCAGCCGCAGGTTGGGCGCTGCCAACCACAAGGTCATGTGACTGTGAGATCCTAGGAGACAGTTGCCACGTAAACACGCCTCACCTGCTGAGAGAGCGCTTCTCTGACCGAGGCTCTCGTCAGACCGGTTAGACCACAGATCAGTTCCTTCCATATTTATCTTAGTGAACACATGACGACGTTTAATGTGACCTGATTAGTTTCACACATGAAATGAAACGGGCAGCCTGAGCTTCTCCTTTTTAAGCCCAGGCTTTATTTAGGCTCAGGCTGAACAAAAACACTTATTATTTAAGGTTAATATTCCTAATTTGGTTTCTGTCTAGCTTTGAGTCTTCTTTGTAGGAGCTATTTTTAGTCGGGGGGGGGGGGGGGGGGGGAGATTGTCGGTGTGCGAGTTTGTTGAAGGAAACCAAAAAAAAAAGCTGTTTGTAGGGTCTGTGTAGCATGAGCTCACCTCTTTTAGAGCTGATATGCTGTAATGGCTGCCTGTTGTGCTGGTATTTAATGTACAATCAGTGAAGGAGGGTCATTTAAAAACCTGCATAATAGCAGGCTTAACACCGGCAGTAAAACTGCTATTTAGGGCCATTCTTTATGGCCGCTGTGATTTAATTAATGTGAATATCTTAGGTCAGCCATTCCCAAAGGCTGGAACAACCCGGCCCATTTGGTTTGCATCACCCCTTGCAATGTCGGTGTAACTTGAGATGAATGTGAAATAAATGCCATGCGTAAGATCAGCAGTGAGTGAAGTGTTTAAACAAGGTGTCCATTCTAACTTTCCTCCTCTCTGCCCACAGTTTCCATCCTCTGCTGCATCTTCATCCTCTTCCTGTTCCTGTCCGAGCTGACGGGCTTCATAGCCACAGAAATGTAGGTATCGCAGGCATCAAATCTCCGAATTAGTCCGCGTCTCGTAATATCCTGCGGCTGAAACACAAACGTCAAGAGGACGGTTCGTTTGTTGCCACGCGGGCTCAGGATCCACTGAAATATATACAAGACGGGGGAGCTGACGATGAATGTCGATGCCCTCATTATGACGTGTTCTGCTCGGCCCGTGTTGTAACCGATGAATGGAGGCAGCTTTCACACAGGAAATTGTCTTTGTGCATGCATCAGTCTCATGGTCATGTGTAATAAGGGATGACTAGGGGAGGCGGCGGGGTGGGTGTAACAGGAAGGAAATTACTCTCTCAGATGTTAAAGTCGTCTTCTTTTGCTCTAATTGACTGTTTTTTTTTCCTTCTCATTAAAAGTTTGGTTCAAGCTTACCTAACCATTTGTCTCTTCTCTGTCCATTACAGAGTAAATGAACTGTATGTGGATGATCCAGATAAAAGCAGTGGTGGGAAGATAGAAGTGAGTTTAAACGTCAGTTTGCCACACTTACACTGTGATTGTGAGTATATAATAATATAATAATATATACAACCGTACACCATTTCTTTGCATTACACTTCCTGTTTGTGTGTTTTCTTTTTTTTTTTAATATGGGCCTTTTTTATGGTTTTGTTTTCCTGCTTTATCAGACCGTATCATGCTTACCATGCTAAATGAAAAGATAAATGATGCCTTAGATAGAGAGCAAGACTCTCATAAAGAAGTAGTAAAGCTACATAATGGTTTGCATACACAGCTACCCAGATAACACGAGATCTAAGGCCGGCCTCCCGTCTGTGTTGCCTCCGTTTGATCCCGTGCGGCCACACGGCCGTGATCAAAGTTTGACTTCTCGGCTCCTCCGCTGTGCTTCGATGTCAGAGAAGTGGGCGGGGACGGAGAGCTGTCACTGGTTATTTGCTCCTCATGACTCCCGTCAGAAACTATGCCCAATGACACAACGCGTGTGCACAAATTGGCGAGGCTCTGGCAGCACAGAAAACACACATTTGTTCGATTCAAGCGATATCCAAAAATGGCAAAGCTAATAAATGCTGCCGGATTTCTGCGAGAGAGGCTTTGGCATGCAGACGCACAGCTGTTGGCCATGTGTTCAGACGACCTTACTCATGGCATACCTTAACAAAGGCGGTCTCATGCCGTTTCCAATTAAAGCTCTCTGTGATTGTATGTATGGTGGTTGTTTATTTGCAGAAATGTGGGGCCCTCTTTAAGTGCACACGCTGGTCTAACCACTCGGCAGCTGCATGTAATGAGTAGAAATGTTTCTCAGCGTCCTCCCGGCGAGTTAATATTGTACATATATTTTTCCGGGCCTCCAAACAGGTTGTCATCCATTACAAATTTACTCTGAGGGAGAAATCATTTCCATCCCTTTTTACTGTTTATCTGCTCTGCTCTGCTGTTCCAGATTTAAACACCGTCTCCCTCCACTGACCTTTTACGGGTTGCCAGGTCTTGATTTGTGACTTCATGGAAAAGCAGAACTGCGTGTAATAACCGTATAATAATTCTCATCCCGCCCCCCCATCCACTTTACATGAACACACTTCTCATTCTAAATGTCTTAAAAAGGAGAAACGACCGGCTCAGACGCACTCACAGTGGCACACTTGACTAGTGTTTGTGCACTGTGTTTTGAGAGACGGAGTGGGAGCCGAAGTTGTCTTGAATGTCAAAGGTCAGACAGACGGCATGTGGAGGTTTTGAGCACAGGTCCAGCAGACGTCCCTCTCTGCACTGCTAGCCAACACACAGCGCAGCCTGGCTCTGAAAATAGGCCACTGCCAGTGTGCCAACACGCGGCGGCCTGCAGGAGGGAGGGGGAGAGGAGGGTGGGGGGGTCAGTGAAGTCTAGATGGAAAAACACAGACAGGCAGGCAGGATAGGTGGTCTGTTTGGACTCTGTGTGTTTACTCTGCGGGTCACTCTCTGCAGAGTTTCTCTTTTTATTCTTCTCTTCCACTGTTAATAAAAAAAATAAAAAAAAGTACTTGTTTTAGTTTTTTTGCCTGTAAAAGAAATGAGAGCTGCAGCTAATGATTATTCTCACTATCAATAACTTCTTTGATTAATCAATTAATTGTTTGGTCCATAAAGTGTCCAAAGAAACCTGGAAAAATGCCAGGCGACTTCTATAATTGACTTATTTTCTATTTATAATGATGTTTGTTTTGACATGTATTCATCATTGTGTGTCTGTGTGAGCGCTGGCGTGTAGTTTCTTTCATTTCATTGAACTCAAAGACTAAAATAAAGATCAAGGTTATTGTACAGAATTGAGAAAAACAGAACATTTTTGGTGTAAAGCTGAAACAAGTTGATCAGTCATAACAAAATAAGTAATTAATTGACAAACTAAGTGTTAGATGCAGCCATAGTTGGGTATTTTTGCTTAACAAATTAAGATAGTAGTTGATTCATTTCTATTGTTTGATTAATTGTCTCAGCACTGAAAATGGTAAAAGTTTGCAACCAGCTTATTATTTAGTGTCATATTGTCTCTTCTTCATTCTATATTTAACTGTCTCCCATGTCTCCCTGTTTCTTCAGTGGTGGGTTTGGACATCCAGGATGAGATGGGCCGCCACGAGGTCGGTCACATAGACAACTCCATGAAGATTCCTCTCAACCAGGGGGACGGTTGTCGCTTTGAGGGAGAGTTCACCATTAACAAAGTAAGGCCTCATCACCACATAGTAGAGAGGAGAAGAAGAATAACCCACACACACACACACACACACACACACACACACACACACACACTGTATGAGGTTTAAATGGCTGAGCTGCCTCACAGAAAGCCTAAAGTTATTTTTTTTCCCCCTGTGTCCAGTAATTACATTATGATAGATTGGATTAGGATCTTTTGTGGGACATAAACTCTCAGACTATATGTTGTTTTTTTGTCTTGGACTTGAGATAAACATAGAGCCCCCCGTCTGAGACGAATGAAGCCGACCTGCTTCCTCCTCCAGTCTAAATTGAGTTATGTTCAATTTAAGAGCTCTGGGATCGGCTTCAGTTACGTCTGCAGTCTGGGCCCCGGGAAGCCCTGTTTGTCCTACCTCCATCGTGTGCGTCAGTCTTTCCAGTCCATTTAAAATGATTAACCCAGCAGTTGTCCATTTAACACTCTTGCTTGTGGAATATTTGGAAATATTGTGAAACGTGTTGAAGTGGATTTTTCTTCCGGACACAAGGGCCATTTGGTTTCCAACCAATCGCGCGCGTGTGTTTAGACTCGGTCAGTAGTTAACTAAATGTGTTGCAGGTGCTCACATTAACTTACCTCGCTGTGTGTGTGTGTGTGTGTGTGTGTGTGTGTGTGTGTGTGTGTGTGTGTGTGTGTGTGTGTGTGTGTGTGTGTGTGTGTGTGTGTGTGTGTGTGTGTCTTCAGGTACCAGGAAACTTCCATGTGTCGACGCACAGCGCTACAGCGCAGCCCCAAAGCCCGGACATGACTCACAACATCCACAAGTTGGCCTTTGGAGAAAAGCTCCAGGTCGGGACTCGCACTAAAACACACCGTGGGGAAAAATGGACACTGATAAAATCTAACGGTATCAAGGCTGAACACGGATCTCTTCTTTCTCTTTTGTCACGCAGGTACTAAACGTACAAGGAGCCTTCAATGCGTTAGGAGGGGCTGACAGGCTGTCATCTAATCGTACGTATGCACGCTGCACATGTACCCCTCGTATCCACTGCGTGACTTTTATGTAAGGTGTGATGCAATGAAACGAGACGCCTAGTGGGACGTCTTTTCAATCCAAAGTGGAATCACAGCTGACTTTGCATCTCGGATGGAAAGGCTCCAGGCAGCTGCGTCGTGATCAAAACTACATCCATTTTTGGACACTTTAACTTGTAACTTTACTTCTCTTGCAGCTCTGGCCTCGCATGACTACATCCTGAAGATTGTACCGACGGTGTATGAAGACCTATCAGGCAAACAGAGGTTCTCCTACCAGTACACGGTAGCCAACAAGGTGCAGTCTCCCTCCTATCATCCCGTGTTCCCTTTCCCCTCACCTGTTAGATCCTAACCCTCTGTGTCGTACGTTGTTTCTGCACATGTTGAGGCAGCAGCGGGACCATCCCAACATATGGCCGGAGCGTGTTTTGCCGCGTTAACTTGTGCACTCACCCGGAAGTGAAAGCTCGCCCCTAGTGACTGGAAACGCTCCCCAGATGTCAACAAACCATAAACACACTTCCTAGAACTGTGTTGATGGACAGCTGCTTTGGAGTTTGGAGTAATAACAGCGCAGGTCAGCTGTGAATCGAGGAGGATCAGGGCCTGAGCAGATTATTCCAAAATCAGCATAAATAAAGAATAGTGCACGAATCAGTGCTTCAATGTGTCAGTCTTTTTTTCTTTAGGTGAATTTAGGTTTTTTTTTTTGTTTGTTTTTTTTTGCAGTAATGCGATTTAAATGAATTCACTGATGTCGATGTTATTGCGTAACACATTGTAGCCTCTTCTTACTTACTTATTTAGTGAGCCAAGATTCATTTTCAATGAATCATTTATGACTTTTTAGTGACTTCATCTGAAAGCTATTCTATAATGACTCATAAACGCCGCCGCTGCCACCACCGGAGATGAGAATGAAATAACAAGATTGCTCTAAATTGATTTCTAAACACAATGGGTTGAAACGTCTGTTTATTAAATCAATTTTTCTCGCCACGTGCAGCTCCAAAAATGAAGTTTGTAACACGCTTTCTTTTTTTTCCCCCACAGGAGTACGTTGCTTACAGCCACACGGGCAGAATCATCCCGGCCATCTGGTTCCGGTACGACCTCAGTCCAATCACAGTCAAGTACACAGAGAGGAGACAGCCCGTCTACCGCTTCATCACAACAGTGAGTTAATCCTCCTCTGGGATTCGCCTGAACAAAAATATCTTAGTTCAAATAAAGTCAATTTGTTTTCATTCAAAGTCTTGAAGAGGTCTTGAATACAGTAAAAACTGGGATTTTAGGCTTTAAACACAATCTTTTAATTGTTTAGCATCTTTCAGCTCGTTGTTTTGGATCAACAGCTGGCAGCTTTAAAGTTTTGGTTCACTCTTATCAATGGTGCATGGCTCTGATAAACTGACACCCAGCAACAAACAGCAGACAGACGGAGTTAGCAGCTAGCCGGTGGACAAAGTGGAGCGTTCAGCAGCTACAGAGGCATATATTCCCCTCAGGAGCTGGTGGAGAGCCGGTTAGCTTAGCTTAGCATAGAGACTGGAAACAGATAGCCTGGCTCTTTCCAAAGATAACCATAACCAGTTTTTATCAGCTTATATTTGGTTATTTAATCTGTACATTTGACCTCCTGCATTCTTCTTTTCTCGTTCTCCGCCTCCTCTCCCCACTCGACCTTATCGGTTGAGGAATTTTGGCCGAGCCTGTACCACCTCATCGGCAAGGTTTCCTTCTGACTGATAATGCGGTCAGGATTAAATTGGCTGCCTGGCTGACGATCTACCCCATTATTTGTCCTTTGAGTTGTTTAGGTTCATCATGACTTGGCATGGCTAGGACATGACTGTAAGCATAGTGCGTTTATGAGTCACGGTTTAAGATTATGAGTCAAGCTGCAGCAGGACTCTTTGCTGGATTCCAGCACATACTGAGGTGTCAGTGAAATGTATTGTTGTTATTTAACGTGATCACAAGCATTGTTGAGATTGTAAGATTGTTGAGCAATTTCTAACCAGAGGAGAACAAAGTTGTTTTTTTTTTGTTTTGTTTTGTTTTGTTTTTTTTAAACCGGTGAGACTGACGGAGTGACTTGTGTTTCCTGTAGATCTGTGCCATCATCGGCGGGACGTTCACAGTCGCAGGAATCATCGACTCCTGTATATTCACCGCTTCAGAGGCCTGGAAGAAGATCCAGATTGGGAAAATGTCATGAGGACTGCTCCCCACTCCTCCCTACATCTTATTTATAAGTGCAAATTTGTTAGCCTGTTAGCTGAATCCAATCCTGCTCTAACTCACTTCCTTTTGGAGGTTGCTCCAAAGCGACCAAAGGAGTGGCTCCGGCACTCGATCTAACTACCAGGCTACACGGCTCAGTTACTTAAGCTCCTCTCAGGCTCCATCTGCTCTGATGACGTGTGGACGCAGACTATCACATGTCTGCTTCCTCCGTCTTCAGTGTCGGGAGAGGAGAGGAGAGGAGAGGGAAGCTCTTTTGTTACTGTGGAGATCAAGTACTGTGTGTCAGGGTTCAACCAGTCTGGGTATTTGAAGTCTGTACATGATTTTCTTTGAAGTATAAAAAAAACAAAAATCTGACATTCAATCTTTTTTTTTTTTAACGTTTGGTGCACAATTTGACACAAACCCCCACATATATTCAATCATAGGGAAGTTTTCAAGTTATGGCTGAATGATTTACAGACATAACGAAGTGTTTAAATTCATTTTAAAACGTTTAAAAAACAGTATTGGTCTAACTGTACTTGTTTTGTTTGTAAGCCGCAAAAAGGGAATTATCATTTGAAGGAAGTGTTCTGGTTGATAAGACCAGACTGAACTTTAAAGTGTTTCCGTAGGTCACGCTGTCCATAAAACTGCATTTTGAATCATGTGACCTCTTACTGTATCTCCAGTATTCACTGCATGTGCCTTTGGGTTTACTCTTCCACCGCACAGGGTTACCATCAGCTCTCATGTGTCTGTTTCAACGGCTGCTGTTACAACTTGTTTTGTAGATTCACTTTTTAAGAGATTTCTTTTTTTAATACATTGATCATTGTTTATCTTTCAGTCAATTTATACCAATATTTCATCAATGCTGTTTGATATCCTAGTTTTGGCTTTTTCCCCAATGCATTTGAATTACTGCATAAATATAGTGAATGTCTGTTTTTTTTTCTAAGAGAGCAAATGATTCAGTTTTTCTGTTTTTTTTTTTTACACGGTATGTGAACTCATTGAGTTTCTATGACGTTGTAAATTGTAGAGATTTGGTTTTGTAAGGAGAGAACTTGTAGGCCAAGGTGTTTGTCCTCTTTGGTCATTTTTCTTTCTTTTGTACTGTTTTAAAAGACTCTAATGGAGAACAGTGATAATCACAAGCCCTTAGAAACTGCTCTTTCTACTGCTAAGGTCATCCACTTCCTGTTCCGCCTCAAATTGCTCTGTAATGCTATGTGTTCCTCAAGTAAAGGCACCATAGAAATCACTGTTGTGTGCTCCATGTGTTCAGGTTTCTATAAGCCAGCTGCCAGCCGTTCGACAAGTTTTATTTCCTCAGTTTTAAGGATTTGCTCTTTTACGAGTCTAAGAGGGAGTACTATCCCTATCATTTTATAATAAACTCTAAAATAGTTAGTCAGGGAGTGCTGGTTTTAAGAATGAAGTGAGCTGCTGCTTTAAAAGATGATTATTTCGCATCAAAGTTGTCTGCTTGAACCCCTTTTTCACCTGAAACTGATGGTTTACCTAAATGTATCCAGGAATCAACAATTATTCATAGAAGCTGAAAATGGAACATTTCGACCTCTGATTTTGAAACATGAACTGAGCTCTAGTAGCTGTAATAGTGTGTGTGTACAACGAGGACTTTGCACCCAGAAGCTGCTCACTGGCAGCCAGAATCAACACCCTGCAAGTTGACGTTTGTGATGTGAGCATGTAAGAGGGTGTTAAACTGTCACAGCTGTCATGCTTACGTCCAGCTCTGATAAGAGGTGCTTAGCGTGACTCACTCCTTTTTATTCGCCCTACATCCTCCGTTTACCTCCGTCACTTTTAATTAATGTTAATGGCGTCGAGTCGTAATCAAGCTTCACCACCTCCACTCAATGACAAGATACATTTCTTTATTTCTCCCCATTTTAGTCATAGTTTGTACAAATGAAGGAAGAATACTCTATATATAAAAGATAAAATTCTAAATGTGTGAAAAGAAAATACTTCAGGTTTGTTTGTGTCATAATGCTGCCACCCAGTGGCTGGTTAGAGGATGTTCAGGCACATATAGCTCAGTCTGTTTGTTGAGGCAGCCGCCCGAGAGGAAGAGATGAGTAGAGGTGAGCTCTGGTCCCAAGGATCTATAACCCGATCTTCATTTATAAAGGACTAGTTACATGTTACTAAAACCTACACGCCTCCCTTGACCTGACCCACTATTTCAACCCCCTTATATTCTCTCGAGCTGCATCTTTGGTTAGATTACACGTTGGAGGAGGCCAGGCAGGGAGCGTCGGGCGAGGAGAAGAAGTCGCAGAAGCCTTCCTCGGACAGGTGTCCGTACTCGTTGTTGTAGAAGGTCTGTCCTGAAAGCTGGCTGAAGAAGTTGGGACGGTGCCTGGAGCTGCCGGCGCCACTGCTTCGACCCAGGGAACCATGGGAGGCTGTCAGCGGCTCTGTGCTGCTGCTGCTGCCCATACGACTGGGAATAGAACAAAAAACAACAAAAATGCTGTTTAGAAATAAGCAATCAGGATATAAAGTCTACAGGTACCTGTACTGTAGGTGTGTTGGACATTTTGAGTTCATGAACATGAATTGTTTCTCAACAGGGACGTCAGTTAAAGACCAAAGTTACTCTGGTCCATCTTTAAGCTCTGAACCTGTAACTGCTAAAAGTGGAAATTGGGGCTCAGAGTATAAGTCTGGTGACTCTGCATTTTCCTTATCGTCAACAAATCTCATGAAAGACCAACTGATCCTACTAACAAATGTTCTCTGTGTCGCCTAATGTGGCTTATTTTCTCTAACATAGAGCTCCATTGTTGTCCAAAAACTATTAAAACACGTCACGGAGCCACATTGAGGTCACTGGGTGAACATGTGCACTGTAGTATGGTACCGTAAATACTCACACACTAAAAATAGTCCCCAACAAATACAACATTTTAGTTATGCTTGATAAAACCACGACAGTGCCTGATAGAGGAAGTTATTTAGCCTTTTTTTTTTTAATAAACTCATTTATTCTTGACTAATTATTTTTGTCTTCTGTTGGATTCAGTGGGAAAGTGAAAAACGCATTGTTTGTTTGGGTCTTTTCATGGGATTAGTTGACAATAACAAACATTTTGGACATTGTAAGCCCTATTCCATATGAGTAAGAATGAAAGCTATTTATCATACTCTTTTTTTTTTTTTTTTTTTGACTTAAGGTGTTTAAGACTAACCTGAGGTGGTAATAATGAAAGTTTATATCTTTCTGCTTGCTGGTAAGCTGTTATATCCAGACACTTTATATACAGTGTTGCACCACTCGTTCTTGCCGTCCTTGTCCATGTGGTACTAGATCTCGCTGTTTCATTGTTGAACAATGGAGCGGAGGGTTGGTGAAATCCTTGCGTCTGATTGGCCTTTCTTGTTCTGAGTGCACCTGTGATTAATCCTGAAATCACGTCAGAGCGGCTCTTAAAAGGTTTCTGCGACACCTTTGCTGTAAGTAGGAGTGAGTTGCTGGATAAATGTGTCTCATTCTTCCCGTTTAGCAAATCACTTTTTACTGCTTTTTTAGATCATTGTTGAGCCTACTTCTCAAAACTGTCAAATGACTCAGACTGTTCCTTACTCCTACTCACCCATGCTTAAATTAGCTCTGCTGATGCTTATGTCAATTGCAACTCTACTGTAGCTTCACTACATATTGGGCTGTGATTCTACAAGCCTGCTTTCTCATATTGACTCTGTACTGTGTCTAAATTCCTGGCTGTATATATCCTCTGCTTCTCTTTCAGTTTCAGGCGGGGGTATTGCTCAAAGCCTTCGTGTGGTTAACCTTTTTGAGACGGCGCCCCTGTGCTCGTGTTCAATTCTCTCGAATTCTTCGGAAGCCAGAACCATCCCGCTGTCTGTCTGGTTATCCTGGGAAGAGACACAGTGAGACATCATGTGAATATAAATGCCTTTGGTTGACCGCGCTGCTATGTCTGCAACTATTTTTGGTCATTCATTAAATGTCACCAGTCACATTTTCAACAGTTGATAAGAAGATAATGAGCTTACTTGAGTAGCTTTCTGTGGCTGCATCCCCTGAGGAAACTCGTCAAATGTCTTCACTCTAGGCTGACATAATTTAGTGGGTCCCACAAACACACAGCCGGTAAAGGGCACGCAGTTATAATACCTGGTCAAGAGGTGCAGAAAGGATTATAAGATTAAAAGATGATGGAGCCTCTAAATGCCACAAGTCAGATAAGAAACGGTAACAAAAAAAAGAGCAGAATAAGTTGTATTCAATGAAAAAAATAGATTATATGTAGATATTTCTGTTATGAATAGGTTGTCAGCTGTGTGACATGATGATACATCTTCAACCAACAAAATGATCTTGTCCGCAAGTTGAATAGGAAATCATTTGATTTCAAATACCCGTCTCTTTTCCGTAGGCTCAATGTCTTGACAGGCTGGCAGCGTGTGTCACGTCAATAACAAGATGTGGAAAAAAAGCTTTAAACGTTACTTTTTCTCCGAGTTTTGCCATAGCGGCTTGTAAAAGTTACTTTAAACTTTACAAGGACAATCTCAACACGAGGGACATTTACTAGCTTTACTAATGTAGTAGCTGGATGTTGTGTGAGACTATTTTCTGCTGTTAAATAAACTGCTGTTTCCGAGGTCAAGAATTCACTTTGAATTCCATTAAAGATTCACCGTTTCCGTGCCTCAGGCAGCAGCCGTAACCGGAGGCATTATGTTTTTGGGGTTTTCCCTCATTCCGTACATCCATCTCATTCTACACACAAAAATCTGAATTTCTTCAAATTTGGCACAAAAGTCTACTTGCACTCAAGAAATAACTGATCGGAATTTGGTGGTCAAAGATCACTGTGACCTTGCAAAACACATTTTTGGCCATAACTCAATAATTCATACACTACAACAATTTCAAAGGAATGTCTACGAGGATGAAAGGATGAAAAGGATGAAGTGTTGACATTTTGGACAGACGTGGATGTAAACTGCCTACTTGACTGGTTGGCAGAGGCATACAACCTTAAGGCAGTAATTCAAGTTTTCAATGAAGTGAGCAAGTCCAAGTTTAGATTTCATGCGGCTGTTTAAGCCCACGAAAACCTGAAACAATTCTCTATAACATTAAATATGTATGTGCATGCAAGTTCATGACATGACCTTCAGCATCCAACCAGTGAGAAGAGCTCAGACAAAAACACAACATCTCCGACGTGAGATGACTTGGTGTGTTCAAGTAGAACCACGTTGCTCATAGGAAAAATCTTTTCGCCTTTACGGAATACAGGATGAACATGTATTAGTACCTGGCGGGCAGAGTGTTGCCGACCAGTCTCAGTTCCTCCTCAGACGGAGGGCGTGAGGACGCCTGCGAGAAGCCATCATCCTCTGAGCTTTGTGAGTGGTTCAAAGGTATGTAGTCCTTCCCATCCTGAAGGGTAAACGGAAAAGATTTAAGGATTCAAGACCTGAAAACTAGAATTAATGTCTCTCCGGCAATGAACTCACAGGTAGGCTGTTGTCCTGCAGCAGGTCTCCCAGGATCTGCATCAGGTTAGGGAAGGTTGGTCTTTCTTTGGGCTCACCGTGCCAGCAGGCCAGCATGATGCCGTATCTACCAGCAGAGAGCAGCACCATCACAGCAAGAACACTGAGGTCATCAACTTCCCTGACACACTAATATAGCTGCAAATCTGACCCTATAGCCTCTCCTACACATACAAGTTAGCCAAAGTTATGATTTTTACGAGTATATTCTCATTTGCCTTTGGGATTGGCTCTAGCGATTAAAAGGACTATAACTCTTATTTGACAGCAAAAGATGAGAGAAAGAATAAATCAAAGTCTCTGCTTACATTTCGGGGGAGGCAGTCTCCGGTGACCTCATCCGCACGCCATCTTTCAATCGTTTGCAAAAGTCTTCGTCAATCTGTACTCCCGGGTACGGAGAAGCACCTGAGGGAGGATTAAAAGATTGTTTGTTTGAATAAAATTGGTTTAAATAAAACTAATTAAAAAAGGACCTAATTGCTTTGGCAAGAACAGAGATCGATACACTTACAGACTGATGTAGGAGATTGTATTGAAACCGTTTGATTTTTATCCAAATAAATTATAATAAATTAGTGTCTTTACCCAGTGAGAAGATTTCCCAGAGGAGAACTCCAAAAGACCACACGTCACTCTGGGTGGTGTACACTTTGTCAAAGATGCTCTCTGGAGCCATCCACTTTAGAGGCAGACGAGCCTGAGAGAACATATGGAGTTTAATATTTCATCACAGATGGATAATAAACCTGGAGCTCCAAAGTGTAGCAAGTGTGAGGATGCCGTACATTGCCTTTCCTGACGTAGTCGGGGTCTTTGTATATGTCTCTGGCCAGGCCGAAGTCACAGATCTTCACGATGTTGCTCTCTGACAGGAGAATGTTGCGGGCTGCCAGGTCTCTGTGGATACACTGCCGGTACACACACACACAACCACACATACATCACAAACCTGTGGTGTGCATGTGTGTGTCCCTGAATGTTTGTGCGAGAGTTTGCATGCATTGATTCCACCTTATTTTCTCTGATGAGTGAATTACAGATATGATTTGAAGACAGAAAATAGCATTTTCTCAATAATCTGTTGCCTTATAACCTGTGTGTGTGTGTGTGTGTGTGTTTGTGTGTGTGTGTGTACGTATGCGAGCGTCTCTGTCCCAGTTTGTAACTGGGACTGGACTATGTCTCGGCCAGGCAGAGCTCTGTGGAGTCACTGCAGGAGATCCAACGCTGTCAAGTAAACGTGCCTTTTGGGGCACGACAGTGAGTCATTTAAAGACAGACATTGTGCTTAGATTCTGGTCAGACTGTTGATATTCATTATAAATTAGTCTCTTTTGTTGACACCATTTAAATTACATTATTCACCCGATTACCAGAAGCTTCATACGCGATCAGCTCACCAACAAATAGGACCAATCCCGAAAGAAAAACAAATTGGTTTCATTTATCATTTACCGTTTTAACCAGATTTGATTTTGTTTGTAATATAATTGAATTCAAGTTATTTTTTATTCCAAAAATTATATATTTTGAATCTTATTTTGTAATCTCATTTAATCTCATCCAGTCTAACTCCTTTCCTTTCTGTACTGATTACTATTGATTTCACATTAACTGACAGTGACTGTTCACCTGACAACCAATCACTTTCAATTCAGGGACATGACGCGTCCATGGAGACGGAGGTCAACCCGTCGCTTCTCTTAGCTCAGGAGCTCTAAGAGGACCCTCGTAACACAACATATAATCTATGTAACATAATATTTAACATACTTTGACATGTTGAATGGGGCAATAATGCATAATCAATGCATTTTATTTTAAAATAGCATGTGAGCTTTTGAATGCAGGACATTTACTTGTAAGAGAGTATTTGTTTTATCTTGCAGTATTACTACTTTTATTAAGGTAAAGGATCTAAATATTTACTTCACCACTGCCTGAATCAGTCCTCAGCTGTGTACCAAAGCCATATCACATGATCACTGTATACAATATAGACATTTTCATGGTATACTGTGAAGGGAGTTCAACATAGCAAAGTGTATGTATTTGAATGCATTTGGGGCAAAGGACATCAAACTGTGACTTTGGTACGTCACTGCCAAATAGACGGCAAAGAGCAAGCAACATGCTTTTCCAAAGGTACGTAGCTCATCTTTTGTTCCCCCGTTAACCATTCACAATCTGTCTTAATGTTCTGCAGCTGTGAGTAGTTTCTTAATGGTGCATTATTGGTTAGCGTGTTCATCAACAGCACATGCAAACAAGTATGGAGTACATTTGATTTCCTTATTCTATGCTCCTCTTGAACACACGGCAGACTGTACATTAGCTTTAATATGCAGCATGAGATCGTGGCATTGCTCTAGTTATCGGTCACGTGGTTCATTAACACAAAGGACAGACAAGCTGAATGATCCAGGCTACAACCTAATGCCTGAGCCCAACCTCTGCTGACATTTCCCCACAGCTCATTCACTAAATTAAAGCCTTTGACAATTAACCTTTCTGGAGGCCAGGAACTCCATCCCACGAGCCACCTGGAAACTGTAGCAGATTAGATCTTCTATCGTCAGAGGAGTTTTCCACAAGTCCTCCACTGGAGAGAGAAGATGAGAGAGAGATCGGTCACGGAAAGAAAAAAAAGAAAGAGAAATTAAATAATCTGCCTTTGTGAATTAAAGCAGACTCACTTTTCTCCCCTGCGGGATTCTCACTGGGCATGTTGGATGACTGACTCTGAGGACTGGTGAGCGGGGAGGAGCGGGGAGGGGGCGGGTGGAGAGCTCTTTGGTCCATTTGACCCGCCTCAATCATCCGTCTCACCTGGCTCTGAGTTTTAGGAGAGCGATCCTGAGTGGGGAAACAGTTCAATGCATCACCTCCATATAGAGGAAATATAGGCTCAACCAAAGAAAAGAAGATTCTCTCTGCGGCCATATTATCGCAGCAGAACAAACAAATAGAGAACGGTAGGCAGTGCTTCAGTGTGTTTTGGATACCCTGTACGGGAGGAAGAACTCTCTCTTTGCTCGTAGGAAGTTAGACAGATTCCCATACTTGCAGTATTCCACTATCACCATCAGTGGACCTGTTGATACAGACACTTTAATTGTCAGCTTTTATCATGAGAGTACGGTGTGATAAAAAGGCTACGAATATTTCAACACATTTTACATTTTTTTGTTACTTGATAAGTCATTAAAAATCTCTACTTTTTCACACCACCTAGGATTAGCTGAACAGTTAAATTGCTGCTTTTGTTTAGGGTACACAGGGTTAAACAATTCCAGATGTGAGCTCCACAAAAATGTGCTCTACAGGTCAAAATGATGTACTGACACAAAATTAGGGGTGTCAAAGAAAAAGAGAGGCAGCTGTTTGTTTTTATCAGTTTGTTTGCTTGAAAAAGAAACATGTTGGTGGAAGCTGCAGAGGGTGGACAAAATAATGTTAACACTCGTAAAAAAAAGGGATTTTACTAATTAGGACAAACAACAGAGCTGAACATAGATCCAAAATGAGGTGTTCTACCTGAATTCCAATTTAATATTCCAAAGGAAACGGTCTTCAAAATCATGACAATTCAATTTTTCATGAGACGTCACTGTTACATAATTGTTGATATATACAACATTTTCATCGTAATACATGTAAATCTCACCATTTGGTTTGGTGCAGGCTCCTAACAGGTTCACTACATTCAGATGGTTACCAATGTGAATCAGTATCTTTAACTCGGACATCAAGGCCTTGTGCTCACTGGCTGTGGATCCGTCTGAAACACACACACAAAGTCGAACATTATGCATAAAATACATCTTGTTTTTTATTGTTGTATTGTTTATCTACCAGGTTATATATATATACGTATATATATATATACCAGGTAACTCTGTGCATCAGTGACTTCATACACAGAGACAAATCTCACCCTTCAGCATCTTGACAGCCACTGTGTCCAAACTGTTGCTCTTGCTGATGCTGTAGATTGTTGCCTCAATTACTTTTCCAAAGGCACCGTGTCCCAAAACCTTTCCTATGTCAGGAGAAACCACAGAATATGTATGTTCACTGATCTATGCCGACTTCGGTTTTGTCTCATTGGAATACAAAAACAGTTGCGGTCGGGAGCATTTGCAAAATGTAAATGCATCTGGCGTCCATATACACAAGGGGGGGGGGGGACTTAAAATCTCAATTGCAGCATTTGGAAACATGTTCCCATGATTTGGGAACTGTCGTGGAACAGATGCGTTTCCTCAGGGCATTTTCAAAAGCCGCACTGGGAATGAGCGCATATTTAACATTAGCACTTTACTTGGCAGCACTTTGCCCGGCTGGCTGCGATCCAATCTCATGCCATTAAGGATTCTGGAAATGGAAACGTAATTCGGTTTCATCCATCCATCTATTTGCTCTCATCCCCGCCTGCATACTTCCTCGCAACCCCCCCCTCGCTCCCATTCACTCGTTTATCCCAACAGCCATTCGTCCTTTTCTCCCACCCTTCCCCGGCTGCTCACCCAGTCGCAGTTTGTCTCTGGAGACTTCCCACTGCGAGGAGTCGTAGGGCAGGTATTCACACTGCTCATCCAGAGGCACCTCCCCCGGGTCCATAATGATAGACAGATAGCCCGTCTTTATGTCTGCCGGGTTAACCTGAATGAACCGGGGAGACAAAGAGCTCATGACAACAACAATGACTGCAGTGTGCATTGAACATGTAACTCTGGCAGCTGTGATGTTTTCCCTTCAGTCTTCTAAGATACGGGAACATTTCTATCATACTTAGGATGATACGACCGTTTTTCATCACATTAAATCAATCAAAAGTGATAAGCCGGGGCAAAGCTGATTGTTTTTATACCTACTGAAAAGTCAATTGACAATTGAAAATCATTACAGCAACGGTAACCATTTTACAATTGATGGCTTGCAGGGCCAGCTGCTGGCATAGGCAGTGTAGGCATAATGATGACTCTGTGTCGTTAAACACCTGTAGCAAGAATATAAGCCTTAGGCCTACATCTCCAGTTTTTTTTACCTTCATTAACTATTTAATTTCACACTTGTTTCAAGTTTATACAGTGAGATTATTCATGTGACGTACAAAGGGGAGCCAAATCCGAAATGGCTTGTTGAATCATGTTTTCTGATCCAGGCTCCCCACAAAAAACTAACTGGGTTGTCTGACAGCACAGTTTTTAAGTTGGCAGGCACTCCAGATACCCAAATGTATGTAAAGCACTGAAATAGTGAGTTATTTTATGATATATCCCCTTTAAATGACCATTTAAATGACCATTTCATACTGCTGCAGTGTGACATTAAAAACATTTAACACAGGTTGACTTTTGTTATGACATAATCACAGGAAATGCAATGTGTTTGTCCGTGAGCTTGAAACGTTCCTCTAAAATGTGTCGACACAACATGACAACTGTGCTGACACACAGACTCATGCTGTCTGTGCAGCATAAAATCAGATCACAGTTGCTCACAGAATGATGACGAAAGGCCAAGTATTGCCTGAGTAAATTAGTTAACTGGCACAAGTGAACAAGGGGGAAGAGACAAAAAGATAGAGGTGCTGTAAGAAAGAGGGGAGGAAACGAATCATCTCTGCATAACAAGCCTTCTCTTAATTACTTGTTAATGACAGCACCACACTGTGAATTTGCTGCAGAGCCGCTGTGTGAGCCAAACTAATAAGTGACCAAGTGAGTAAAAATAAAAAAAGCAACTTGGGCCTCATTATAGATGTGCATTGACTAATTGGACTTGCTCCCAGCAGATATCAGTAACTCAGCGGGTGAACTGCAGACTCTCTTGAAGATCAAACAGGTTGCGCTCAAACGCCGACAGACATGTTGTGGGTCAGAGGTTAAGTTACGGTCTGTCAGTCTTTCTTACAAACCCCACGGACACAAACACAGACACACGGTGAAAAGTGGCGCCCTCTGACCCGCTTTGCGTTGCAGAAGATTAGGATGAGCAATGCCCAGAAGAAAATTGCAATGACTCCCGTCCCGATGAGGATTACGATCTCCACATTGGCCTTGTCACTTGAACCTTGATAGAAAGAAAGAAAGAAAGTCACGCCTGGATGCAAAATGTTTTATCTGAAACCACTTTATCAACTCACAGGTCTTTATTTAGTCTCTCTTTGATTACATCACTCCTTACCAACTGCAGGGGGTGCTATATTACAAACTACTGATCCTTCTTGCAAGAGCCTTACTTTGAAATATTTAGGTTACATCAATGTGTTAAACAGTCATTTAATTTCATCAAGAGACCACTTCCAGCAAACCCATTAAATTATTTATAGTATGAAATGTCCCAGCAGTCAACGCCTTTGATTTTGACTGTGGAGAGCTATACACAACAAAAGCACAAAAACTACAGCTGCAGAGAAAAGTGTGAGCGGTGAATGACTAAAATACTGACATGTACATTTTGTGTGTGAAGATGTGAACTCGAGGGCAACTGTGATTTCAGGCCTGAGTGCTCTCGAGAAGAAGGCATGTCAGCGGTGAGTGTGTGTGAGTGGATTCAGGTGTCTTTGGGATCGCATGAAGTGGCCTTTTTTTCTGTATGTGTGTGGGGGTATGTGGGGGTGTGTGTGTGTGTGGCTGACTCACCGATGACCTGGACGGCGGCTGAGGAGTGGACACAACCGCCCTGGTTGCAGGCGGTGCAGGTGTAAAGACCGGCATCCTCCTCTGTAACCCGCTGGATACTCAGCGTGCGGTTTGAGTCCTCCAGCTGGATCCCTGAACAGCGACACACACACACACACACACACATCGGCTCACTTCATCGCTCCACTTCCCCTCTCACATCATAAACCCAGCAACTTTTTCAACAACATTTCTTGAACTCTTGTCACACCTCTGCGCTTCGATCTATTATGCTCATTTATAATCACATCGCCCTGTGAGGCGAGCCACATGTCCCAGCAGCCCCTTTGAGTGAACCCAGAGCATCGGCTGTCACTCAGACACCATATTGCTCCCCCCCCCCCCCATCTCCCTCAGATGTGAAGAAGAAATGCAGGCTGAGAAAGCTAATGAGCCGTGTCCATCGGCCTGCAGGGTTTCACAACTGTGTGTGTATATGTGCAGTGAACACATCGGTATTCGCCAGTATTCTTGTCACTGGCTCTGTTTGACAAATTTGTTCTACAGTGCCAGTGGGTGTGTGGATGGGCTCTGGTGGGCGGTTGTGTATCTGTGAGTAAATATTAACAAACCGTATTGTTCCTGCTCTTTTAGCTAATGTGAAGCCGGAACGTGATTCCCCTGAACAGAGCATAGACTGTCATAAGATACGAGTCCTGCTAAATTAAGATCTAGAGGGGCAGACCTTATGTGTAACACTGTTGTGTAAATGCGTGCATCACTCGTGGAGGTGTGTTCAGGCACCTGACATTTGGTGGAGAGGCTGGTTGTCTTTGAACCAGGAGAGGAGGGGTAGAGGTCTGCCCTCTGCGTCGCACTCCATCCGCAGAGACTCGGTCACATTCACCGTCTGGTTGGTGAGGCTGAGCTTGTACCGAGGTGCCTCTGGGGCTTTGGAGAGAGAGAGAGAGAGAGAGAGAGAGAGAGAGAGAGAGAGAGAGAGAAGGACAGGGAAAAGGGAAATTAACATACTCCACCCATGGGAACAGTGCAAAACAAGGAGTGTCAATGTACAACGGGTCTTGTAGCAATGTATGTAAAAAGGGCAAATGTCAAAAAATCCCATTACAATGTACATCTATCCTCCGGGGCGCTGATGCAAGTTTACAGCACACAATGACGCAGGAATTTGTTTGTGCATTTCAGCCCTGCAGCGTCTCAGCTCTGTTTTCTGTCGATGCGGTGCAAACACCGGGTACTCTCTCCATTACGTTTGGATGTTGGTCTCAGGCTGCGTGGGTTTTGTGAGTGTGCGTATTTTGAAGCCCTTCAGCATCTCAGCTTCACTGTGTGTGTTTCGGCCGCCAGAAGTTGAGCTTTTCTCTATAATTAGCTGTGGTTGAGAGAGACTACTCTCTACGCAGGGCGATGTGTGCACGACTGTGTCTGGAGTATTCATCTCTCTTATCTCTCACCTTTCACAGAGATGTATCTGAACAGGCACTGTTTCTCCCCACTGCGCCTGCTCTGAGCCTCACACACATAATGACCCTCATCCCTCATCAGCTGCACGGAGGGGATGGTGAAGTCGAGGACCCAGCTGTTGGAGGCTTCCTGGAAGGAGAGCTGGCCGTCAAGGGTGTATGCGTAGAGGTGCACGCTCCTGCAGTCAAGCTCCTGGTGCTTGCCCTGCTCATCCTGCAAGGCCTTGGGGTCAATGCGGTACCACTGCAGCTGCTCGTAGGTGTAATTGTCAGCGCTGCAGGACAAGGACACTTTCTCCTGCTCCAGGGGATTATCCAGGGGCTGCACGTCCACACTGAACCCCTCAGGGATGGCTTTAAAGATAAAGAGAGGGGCAGGTGGAGTGGTTAGGTAACCTAACAAGACAGAGCTAATGCACTGGACATGAATGAAACTTATTTCTTATTGGTTGGTTTATCAAAACTACAACATTTTCTTACTTAAATCCTGTTGCTCCCCTTTGGCTTTTATCAGGGGGACACATTCAATAATCCATCCATGTAGAAAGAAATTCTGAATTGTTCAATGTAATTTCTACAAATTCTATTCACCTCTTTTCTATTGAACCTCAGATATCTCAACACCTCGAGCCACAATTATCTGCACGGCTACATAACACGAGAGGGGATTTTGGCAGAACAGACCCTTTAATTAGTCATCATACGTCTTGTGTTCTTTTGTTGGCAAATGCAGGGTGAAATCTGACCCGACATACTTACTGGTTACATAGAAGTAGATCAGCCGCTCATCTTTGCCGACTTTGTTTTCAGCAGTACACTTGTACATGACAGAAACACTGGCGTTGCCAATCTGAAGCCTGCTCACTATCTGTGGGGTAAGAAAAGGTGCACGAGGCTTTAATTCATCTGGAAGAAACGCGCATACTCTAAAAGCAAGTGCAATCTGCTGTCTTCGTAATTCGCTGTGACCACACACAAGCGAAATGTTGTTTCCGACAGGTCAACAGGAAGCAAACCCACTCAGGTGTGACTGAAAAATTCCAGGAGTTTGCACGTGTGCGTTTTCTGTTTTCCTCTTATGGGTGTGGTTTACAAATGTACTGGCATGTGTATGTGCACAAGCGCCCCTTGCATGCGTGTCTGGGTTTTGCTTATGACCGGTCCTAACAGGAAGTCTGCAGAGGAAGACTGTTCTAAATATTTCTACTGTGGAAATGGTTTGTAATTGACAAATTTTGTTATGGAATTCAGAATATGGGACGCTTACATAAAAACATCACGGTCCACTTATATAAATGTCTTCTTCTCTGGGCTATGTCCTAATCATAGTCATTCTTTTACGGAAATTTCATTCATATCAACAATCATGTCATTGTATTGTAATATCGGGATTTGTTTTAAAGATTCATGAATAAGTGGGCTTTGGCAGTCATAATCAAAAAGCTGTGATGAACCTTTTGTCGGCCATCCACCACTTCGACCGACGTGTCAATGGACTCGATTTCATTCATGGCGTTTTCCAAATGAATGTCCTGCCAGTTCTGACAGTCTGCGATCCCGTCACTCCGGCCCCTCCTGTCTCGCCGGACCCTGTATAGAAACACAGATACATTCATGACGTCTCCCCTCATTGACATGCGTAGCAGAGAGTGGGCACCTGAGGTTTTACGAGATGTTATCAGATGTTTTTTTGTTATTTTTCACGCACTGGCTTGCATTTTAGATTCGAACATGAGCTTGCAAACCCAAAGCCAAGGTAATAATGCTGTGTCCTGCAACTAATGGAAAAACTATGGTATCAATTTCTCTTATGAAGATCCATAGTGTGAACATCATGGCAGAACTAATGAAACATGAACTGGAATTTTGTTTTGCATTTTCTCCTAAAGGCAACACTCAAATATTAGCAGATGGTAATCAGGGTCAATTCCATTTTACAAAAACATAAAATATATATATATATATTATTACATATATGCACAAATCAATTATTTGTAAAATTTGTGGATGATCAAACCTGTTTTGATTCCCTCAGAATATGTTATTGTCAACAAACTGCTGGTTATGACACAACACAACACACACACACACACACACACACACACACACACACACACACACACATACACATGCTTGTTTTTGTCACTTGGAAGAACATTGCATTGATTTACATTCATTTCCTGGAGACTTTCCCAAACCTTAACCATAACCACTAACTAGTCTTCTGTTTGGGGGAAATTTGAGGGTTTGGTGACACAAAAAGGAGTTTAATTCTTCAACTGCACACATATTGAACGCATTTTTTTTATTTTTTATAGAGACTGATATCTTTTATCCATGTGTGTGGCTGTAGGAATGGCAATGGGGATCAGAAGTATGTGCCGCTCCTTGCTAAGAAATAGTCCAGCACATAACCACATTGTGTGGTTTTACACTTTTGTGAACGGATTAAACAAACATCGTATGATGTGTTCATTAGTGAGCTTCAGATGTGCTGGAAGGCCAGGCTAGCTGTTTCCCTGTTTCCAGTCTTTATGATGGGCTCAGCTACCGTGTCCTGGCAGTAGCTTCATATTTATTGTACAGACATGAGAGTGATATTGTTCTACTCTTTTCAAGAAAATGAATGAGTGGATACGTGTATTTCCCAAAATATCAAATTATTCCTTTATCTAAAAATCAGTCTCTGTAATGTTACTAATGCAGACAAAGTGCTCATCATGTGAGACTGTCCAATCGTCCACTGTGCACTCATCATCTTGTGAGACTCTTCACTCATCCATTATCATTATCTTTTTTTTCTTTTCACCACTTATCCTGCTCAGGGCAGACATATATAGACAGACAACCATTTACGGCAATTTAGAGTCATCAATCAACCTAAGCTGCATGTCTTTGGACTGAGAAGGGAAGCCGGAGAGAACCCACGCTGACACGGGATGAACACGCAAACTCCACACAGAAGGCCCGTCTAGCCATGGAATCAAACACCAACATGCCGCCCCTGTCCACCTGTATGGAAGTCATTTCTCAAGCTTTGCAGAGAATGTCACTCAAAACAACTAAGGTGAATTCAGTATGGGACACTTCAGCATGCAGGTGGACTTACATGTGAATCAAATTTGCTCTATTCTTAAATTGGATACCAAATACAGAAAAGGAAATTCAATTATTTCTGCACGCACCAGAAAAGGTCAACATAGCCATGCCTCAGTTGGCGCCCATGAAATGTCACGTGAGATGTACATGAGACAAAAAATTATCTGGACATCTGGAGCCAAAGTTGAGCTCAACCTGCCACTGCTGTGTGTTTCTGATTGTACACTCTGTTGCATGCTCACATGGAAAGGTCAAGAGAACAGCAATAACTTCAAATGTTAAGCCTTGGATGGAAATGGAGGCAAGTGAATATTAAAGGGATATTATGCAGTAGCGGCCAGGCGATGCCTGATAATAAGTGTGTAGGTGTGTGTGTCAGTGTTACATGTGCATTTGGGTTTGTGTTTTCCGCTGTATGTCAGAAAGTGAGTCAGCAATGTGAGAGCTGAACCATGGCGGCTCCACGTGGCGGAAGAAGCAGACTGGATATTGAACAGACACTTTCTTTTCGTCCTCTCTTTCCTCTGTTTACTTCTACTCCACCTTCCTCTTCATCTCTGCTCCTCTCATCCACCTCCACATTTCTTTCCCCGTCGCCTCTTTCTTCATCATCTCCTCCCTCTCTTCTTCAATCAGAGCCAGTGGATAATTTCCCACTGACCTCTTCCTCTTATTTGGTCTTCTCATAACGTTTCATGCACCGCATCCCACTCCTCCCTTCTTTTCAATCCCGTTCAATCAAACCCTATCTGCTCCCACACTGGTTACACAGAGTCAGTCCCGTGTGTGAGTTTGTGTGGTTTTTCTTACAGTCTGCTCCGGGTGCTGTTGAGGACACACGGGCCCCAGGGCCTCCACTGCCAGCTGACATTGGGGGCGGGCAAACCATAGGCGGTGCACGTCAGCGTCTGGCTACTGTCACTGGGGTAAGGACTGGACGGATCTGCCACTTCTTTCTCATGGATCTGTGGGGGAACTGGGTCAGAGGAGAGCCAATCAATCACTCCCTTCAGTCAGACATAATATCTAGGGGCCCAGACCTGCCAGTGTTTGTTAATTGGGCAGAACAAGGAAACACCCTGGACTAGTTGCCAGTCACAGGACTAATGCATATAGAGAGAAAGCCACCCTCATACTCCTCATACACAGCTATGAGAGGAAGATAAAACATGACTAGTACACCACCAGGCCACTAGAAAACAGAGAAGATACAAACTTAACACATAAATGCACTTAGGGGTGATTCCAGTCTCCACTTCTGCTTCAACCGGTACGATGACATCAGAATGTGGTGCAAACTTTAAGCAGACACAAGTCTTAAAACCATATATGTATTTTCTATATACCCTTTGTGAACACAGAGGAACAAGTAAACCTCTCGTGTTTTGTGGCATTTAACTGTTGCACATCCACTGTTTTTTACACCAAACATCTGGCGTGATCTCCACTGAGGGCTACGCAGACTGACAGTCTAGTTACCGTTGACCACAAGCGTAATGTTGAGCCTCCTCTCCAGCGCGGCGGCACTGTTCCTCAGCACCACCGCGTACAGCCCAGAATCCTCCTGACAGACATCCTTAATCTCCAAAGCATGGTTAAGGTGCATCCTCATCCTTTTCATCCTGAACTCTGGGCGCTGGTTTATCAGCTTTCCATCTTTATACCTGGACACAAAGCACAGCTGCTACATTACAGGATACGCTCCAGCTGAGGTGCTCTGCCTCTAAACGAATCTGTAAACCTAAAGCCTAGTTATGCATTTGGAAATTACCCATCAAACTTAATGAATACACCAGAGTCTCATCTCACCATTGTGTTTCGGGTGTGGGGAAGGCAGACACATTCACTTGTAATTTGAACGACTTCTGGCCGGTAGTTACCTCCACCACTTGTCCATTTCTGTAGTTGAGGCTAATAAATGGCTTTTCTGTAAAAGAGAAATTCACATATTTACAGTCTGAGTCTCAAAGCCCAAACAATCCACCAAAAATCTTCTGAGCATCAAAGACTCGCCCCCTGTAGGCTTAAGACTTGAAATGTCCAAAGAAACTTCTCAAATCACTCCGCTGTTTATCCATCGGCATCTTCACTTTATTGCTTTGCCAATTAATTGCTAAATACACAAGGAGAGGTTTGAGAAATCTCTGGATATTTCAACACATTTTCTTGCTGTGACTCTGGGTCACCATTGGAATCAGAGCCACTAAATATTTGAGTATTCCTTCTAAAGCAAGACTATATCATTTTTAGAGGATATAAATTGTTAATTCGTCTCCTATGTAATTTATAAGTGATAAAACACCCCTGCTCAGTTCAGCACCCTCAGGCAGATTTCCCAGTAGAGCCTTTCTTGGCCCGATATGACAAGTAGCTTACGGTGGCTAATGTAAGCTAAGCTTGGTAGCAAAGTAAAGCTACATTGATATCGCTCTATAATGGAGTTGGCGGCTTACTTTTACACTGTACTTTACACTACATGTTAGCTTTTACTAGCATCCCGTTAATTGAAAGTTACATAGACATGATTTGTTTTTTGCCATGCTAGCAGTTTGTTCAAGACTGAATCTTCTCTATGAATATTATCTATTGGATAAATTACCAATTATTTGGTTCAGACATTCGTGTGCCCCTCAGGAAACATGTTGGTGATACCTTATCTTTTTATTTAACACTATTAGCTAATGTTAGCATGCTAATACGCTTAACTAAGATGGTGAACATGGTAAACATTTCACCTGCTTAAAATCATTATGTTAGCATCTCGTTAACATAGATTTAGTCTTGGTATTATGTACAGATACTCACAATTAATGTGATATTTAGGCTAACATTTTTTTGAACAAGAGGAAGGCCACGCAGTAAACTGCACTGTTCTGAGCCATTTCTCTGCTTACCATAAACTATGACCTGTGTTTGTTGGGTTTGTGTTGTGTCCGTGGTGGTGAGGTTGCAGCTGTACGGGCCAGTGTCTGTGACGTTGACACTGTGGATGGTCAGGATGCTAACAGCCTCTGTGGCGTGAGACAGAGCTTCACGATGGGGCTGAGTGTCCTCCCAACTGTTGGGCTAGTGAGGAGAAATGAAACTCAGGTTTTCATTTACTGGTGCGTTTCAACGTGCGACCAACTGATGCTGATATGTTACCTGTTTGCGAGGGTAAGACCACTGAATGTCCACTCCAGTGTCAAACTCCACCAACGCTGTGCAGTTCAGGGTGAGGGCCTCCCCCACTATCAGCTCGACTGGGTCCTCAGGAAACAGCTTGAAATCGTAAATCTGACTTCCTGTATGGGAAAAGAGAAAAAGGTGGGAGGTAGAAACAGAGGGACAGAGGGAGGGGAGACAGTGAGAGAGGTCATGGTGACACCGTCAGCAGTTTTCCCTTCCTCACAGGACCAGAGGAAATGACATTCCTTTGGACCAGAGGAGCCATCCTACTATTAAGATGGTTGTCACAAGCTCGCACTATTTTCATGCATGTGTCAAGACATACATCAGTGAAGGAAATTAAAGTGGAATACAGAGAAGCCTCAATTCAAGATAAGACAGAAAAAGCAAGAAAGCTTTGGACACTGGCCCAGTGTCTCTGATATCCTCTCTCTGCGGTCTCTGGAAACGACATGGGGTGTACAAAAAATAACATACGCTGGTGATGTCTGTGCAGCAGACTGTGATTGCCTGATTGTTTAAACGCTCCATTAGCGCTCGGAGTGAAGACTCGCTCTGGGTTTCTCTTCTGACTGATGCTGGCTGTTACTTTTGGCCCGGCAGCGGTGGGTATGGGTTTCCTTTCGCCCTCTAAAGTGAGAGGTGAATGATCTCACACAATATAGCAAAGAGCCTCTGGGTCCCTCAGTGTTCAGTTGCAACGAGTGGGAACCTCAACGTGCAATCTCTCCATCTTCGTTTCCTGCAATTTAATTATGCCTTCCTTCTCTTTTCTTTTCTTTTAATTCTGCTGGCATAACGGCACACCTCCCCGCATTAAAAAAGGGAGTTGTGTTCTTTCGAAGAAAAGACATAATGAAAGAAAATCCTTCAAATTGTCAGCATTAATGCGTAATTGGCACACTTGCTGCCATGCAGAATGTCCTTGTTAATTTCCCTTTCAACAAGAGTAGAGTTTCAAATGTAATTTAAATATTTGTACTGGGTCAGTCATGTTTTTGTAGCTGCTGTAGTTAAGGCCTGTATGATCCTCAATGTTTTTGCTGGAACACAAGAGGAGACTGAACCCTTCAAACCTAGATAAAGTGTGTTTTACCTGTCATGTGGATCAGGTAGCTGGTAGATTGATACTCTTTGCCTCCCAGCGTGGCGACACACGACAATCCGATGATCATCGGCATACTGTCCACGAACTGTCTGGGAATGGACCAGCCTCGCTTGTTGTCCCATGTCATCCCGCTCTTCTCCAGAGGCGTGGGATACTGAGATGACACACATTAATTGCTCCAGGTCAAATCGTAAATGAAAGCATTGACAGGTTCTGTTGGAGGAATAGAATGTGAGTGAAGTCTGTGAAGAGTACAAACCGCGTGGAGAGTGACGTTCAGATCCGGCACTGTGACCAGGCATGGCACTACGACGTGGGTGGAGGAGCGGGTCATTAAAATAGTTCCGAAGTCATTCTCGGGGCTGTAACTGAGGAAGGGCTGTTCGGGGTCTGGGTGGAGATAGAAACAGGGAGCTGTTAAAGGGTAAGCCTGATTCCAGCCACGATAATAGTTACCTATTACAGAGGTAACTTCAGGAGCGGACAGCCACATATCGCAAAGCCTGATAATGACCCCCCCGCAAAAGACACTCATTGTTTGTGGAGTTTATCGTGATTACCATGTAATGCAACAGCTCAGTCTGTCCTCACGCAGTAAATAGCATTAAGAACTGCTATTACATGTCGGAGAGAGAGACAGATAGCCGAGGGGTTTATTCCTCCTATAAACAGTGTTACAACCCCCGACCCCCCCCCCAAGCTGTCCGTTAGTGGAAGATATCTTTTCTGTGTTTCTTTAAACCTTGGCATTCCCCTTTTGATTGTCTATGACTCAAACATACTGTTGCAAGGGGGCTCTGGGAGACGTCAAAGCAATTGTGTCACCAATTTACATTGCAGCTGCTATCTTTACAAAAGCTCATATTCCCACAGCACGAGCACACTATTATAAAAATGCTTATCTCTCAGACAATACTGACGACTTTTGAACAGCAGCCAAAGATGTTGTGTGACTACTACTTGCTTTTGTTCTCATTTCTTTTTTCTCACGATAAGCCTTCTTTTTTTTCTGCGGCACTCAAAGCTATGACTTCAATCATCTGCAAGGCCAAACAATAGTTCCCATCTAGAGGTTTATATTTCTGCCCCGCGGTGTTCTAAATACACACAGGTAACAGAAATAATACACAACTCCTCGCAGCTTGAGTTCTTCACAATAAATCAATGCAAGTATTAGAGTGCAATCGGTTTCCTAAGAGAAGCTGTTGCGCCCGGGGCAAGAAGAGTTTGCAAAACCATCATCAGCCTGGGTATGAGTGTGAAAAGGTACGTCTCAGAGGAAGTGATTGTGTATTTTACATGAGCCTGCATATGTGTGTGAGTGCAAGTCCATGCACATACAGTACAACCATGAGCGCTAGAGTTATGTGTGCCCTGGTGTTTACATGATAGTGTGCAGCAGAGACGGGGTAAAGGGGCGACGTCTGCCTGTCTAATTCGATCCACATGCGTCACTTCTCATTCCGCCACATGCTGGGGCTAATTTATGGCTGCGATCTCATCTGCTCCTGATCAGCCCCCTGGTTAGATCTGTGGAAACTGTTTTGGCACCTTGTCAGAGGGGATAAACAGGCGTTTCACTTGAGTGGACTGGTCAGCAGGATTCCCTTACGTGACAACCATGTGTCTCTCCCACTCTCCCTCTCCACTCCTCCTACTTTTCTTTTTGAGCGAGGTGAGGAAAAGTTAAAAATGCAACCCCTAACAGACAAGTCCTAAAGTTGGTCTCAAAATAAAGAAAGTAGGAGTGATGGCTCTGAATACTAAGAGAGAAAACATTGGTAGCAAAACCAATTTTATTGTGCAGGTCCTATCAGGTTTGATGCATGAAAAGTCTGATGAGAAGGTGAAGGAGCTGCTGCTATATTTCAATATGAATAAATGAATGAAAGGGCACTAAGCTGCTAATTCCTATCTCTATCAAACACTTTGCATCTCTAATTTCCGAAACATTAACCGCCCCAGCTTCCTGCTTGTTACTGAGGCAACAACTTCTATTTCTATATAATGCCGGGGCTGTTTTGATATTGAAGTCACGGTCAAAAACAGATCTGTTTCAGTGGGACGTCTATGCAGTTTTGTTTTACTTGTGAACCTCCCAAGGAAAAGAGAAACTGAAGACTAAAGGGTCCACACAGCCAAGCCAAAGCGCTGCAGACCTGGTCAGGGAGAGATGCATCATGCTCTCTTTAAACACAGAACAAGTTCAGGCAGCAAAATGACCCACAAACCATTGACTCACTACTATGTGAAATGGATTTCTATATAGAAAAATCAAACTCATGGTTGGAAATAAGGAGTTTGGTAAAAAAAAACTGCCACAGACTTTTCATTTTCTTGCATCAGCATAGTGTATGTTTGGGTTTGTGGGAGTGTGACTCACCCCTGACGAAGACATAAACGCTGACGGCAGTGGTGCCGACAATGACGGCCTTGACATCCTTGTAATAGCAGCGATAGTAGCCCGTGTCTTTGGCCCGTGTCCCGGTCAGGTCCAGCTGCTTGCAGTACGGCCTCCCAGGCTGCCCCGGACACTCGCTGACCAAGGCGACCCTCTGACCGGGGGCCCTGGTGGTCGACAGCTGGGCCTGGCGGTCGGTTAGCTCCTGTCCCACCAGAGTGTGATCAGGCCAGGCCCAGGCCAGAGTGTGCTGTCCCCTGAGGAGACATTAGGCCAGGACATGGAACAAATTTGACATTAGCATGAGCTTCAGGGTGATAAAACATCATCCATAAGCAACATTTGAAAGAAAAGGATAACGTTTAAAAAATCTGTTTCAATGTACATATGGATACCTGATTATTTTGTTAAGGCCGACTTGAAATGATCATTTTAAGTATCTTAAAAATGAACACTATTTTGGTGTCTGTATTATTGTCATTCTTCCAGTCACAGAATAATTGTAAAAGATGAGAAGTGTTTGTGTGCATGTGAGCGGACACCAGTGTGTGCATGTTTGTGTGTGCGCGTGTGTGTGCATGTGTGTGCGTGTGTGTGTGTGTGTGTGTGTGCGTGTGTGTAATGCTGTAAAATTCTCAGTGCGTCCACACATCCCTGTTCACTTTGTGCTTTGTCACATAAATTCAATTATGGTTGGTTTATGTTAAGCCGGAGGCTTTATGAGCGAGAGTGAGTGGAATCATAATGGATGCCTGAAAACTGATATTAGCTATGCTTTCACCACCTGCCTCCACCAACTGAAAATGCCTCCATTTGCAGACAGTACCAAAATGTGATGACTGGAAATGACTGCAGAAAATCGCAGAGGGCAATGAAAGTGTTCGGAGGATTTTCCAACCCTTGTGAATAGCATCTATTCGTCTATGTTCTAAAAAAAAGTGTACATTAAGATGAAACTGTCTGAAATGAAACTTCCTCTCGCAGGAGATTCTCAGTGGTGCTGGCCATGTGAGGTTTACATGCAAAAAACTATTTAAGACCTGTATTGGAAAAAGTCCAAAGGTATCATCAGCTTTCCAAAGACATCTTTCTTTCCTTTTTGTACGGTCAACGAGAGAGTGACAGCTTGGCAGCAGGCAGCGCGGCAGAGATCTCGTAAGGATAAAGGATGGTCATTATGAGTGAATTCATCTCCAATCACCAATCAGTATTGGCTGTGTTTCAGAACCAAAACATCTCTGTGTGTCTCATAGGACAGGGCCTTATTTTCATATGGAATTGGATGTATTACAAAATGTAGAGTCACATTTTTTGGTGAGTTTTTCCTTTTGTGAAATCTAAGGATAGAAGATGTTGTATGTTGTACACATTTTATGCCCTAGCTCCTCAATACAATTTATTTGAATTGACTAGTTTCCATCAGAGACAGATAAAAACGCTGGACTGAGACTGTTTGAGAGTGACAATGTATCAGTGGTGGGGGAGCTATTCAGAGTGCAATAGCAACACCATCCTGTAAAACATTCCACAAGTAAAAGTATTGCATTGAAAATGTCATTTAAGTAAAAGTACTAAAATAGTAAAGTTAAGAATCAAAAGCTCTCATTGGATGAACAAGGCTGTTGTGAGTTTTATGCTTTTATATTAAATAATAAGATTGTATTACTGATACAAAAAGCAGCATTTTCCTGTTGAAGCTGCCTGAGGTGGCCCTAATTTTAAACTATTTATTTCCGGGCTGCAACTAAGGATTCAACTGCTGATTATTTTCTCGATTGAAATTTTTGGTCTGTAATACGTCGCTGTAGTTTAAGACACAAAAAAAGAAGCAAACCCTCACATTTGAGAAGCTGAATCCATCAAATGTTTGACATTTTTGCCTCAAACGCATGATTGGGTACAGTTGGAGAGTACTAGTCTATATTTTTGAATGACCCTTTCAGGTTGTGCAAAGTTCACTTTTCAAATAGATGTGATTTTGTTTGAGGGGGTTGGCAAAAGAACAGAACACTGTACAATGGTTCAGGCAGAATGACGACTGAAAGGGCAGGAAGAGAAATACCTCTGAGCAACAGTTGAATAAGAACAGACAAAAAGAATAGAAGAAATCAAAGGTTGGTGAATAAAACTGGAGGCTTAGCATCCAAATGGGAGCAGATTTTAATAGGAAGAGGTTCCTGTTTCGTTGTCAAGTGCACAAACGTGCCTAACAGATTAGAATTAACAGGCGTGTTGCTTTAGCAAATCTATTCTTCATACTTAACAGCAGAAAAAGAAGGTTAGTGTAGGGTTAGCACTGTTGGAAATGGATCAGGGAAACATCAGCTGAAAATACTATGCACTGACAAATCACAGTGCAAACCTATTCAAGCTAACATCTGAGTGGACTGCAGAGGGCCCAAAGAAAAACGGTTTCCCAAAAATATTTAGAGCCCAATTACACCGTTGTAAATCATCAATGATTGATGATCACTTATGCTTTGCTGGACTGGAAAACAATTTCAAAATCAAAGATTATTTTGGGGGGAAATGGTGCCAATATTCTTCACTATCATTAGTGGGGACAGTGACTAAAGGGAAGTTTTAATCATAATTCTTCTCAGTGACAAGTAATATAACTTGTCAAGTAAAGTATCTAAAATTTGTACTGGAGCAAATGTAATTACTCGCCACCACAGCAATGTATAGCAAACCACGAATCTCTTCTGGCATCTTTGGGTCATTATGATGAAAAAATAAGAAGCCTGAATTAACAAAACAGCAAGTCACTCCAGCACACACGTCCACAAACCTGCATGTAATGGTGAGGGTTTCGTGGACTGGAATCACTAGGTCTTCTTTGGAGCAGTCGAGGATGGGCGGAGTCATAGAAAAGCCAATCACCAGACCTGAGGGAGCGAACAAAGCAACTGCATTAGATCCATGTTACACGGGTTCAGTCAGGGCCTAGTGGTTTTGACAGAGCTGCTGGTGGGCTGTCAAATCTCCCGAACACATCAGGAATCTGAAATCCAACACGACAGCGGCTCAGACAGCACGTTGTTCATTTCATTTACAAGCTGTAAGGCAATCTGTCCCTGACGCTGAGAAACACCCAGAGAGAGAAATCATGGCCCGCTCGTGAGGCGGTGCTGCTCGGAGCGCCTCACTTCCACCTCTGAGAACAGCCCCAAAGCCACCGTTTGTGTTTGATTCATTACCAACGCATTCCCTTCTCTGACTTGTGCTTGGTTAATATGCCCGGGCCTAGAATGTCATTACAGTCCCGGAGTCCCCTCGGGGTGCTATTAGCGCTTAGTCAGACTCCACACCGCCAGTCTATCATATGCCACCACGACTTATGCCCCACCTGGATATCATTAGATATGAAAACACACACCGAGAGGCTTTCTTTACATTTATGGAAGCAAATGATGACCATTCTTCACATCAGACTCAGTGTTTGTTTTTTAAAATCAATGCGATACGTGAGCAGTATTCAATGTATTAATGGTGGCACTTTTCCGGCAGAGCCAACAAAGCATATTCAAGAACAAACACAGCAGCGAGTTAAACACCTGAAAGCCAACGTTGAATATTTTCATGTTTGAATCACTACTCCCTTTTCCAGGCTAGACAACAGACTTCAGCAACAGAAGGGCAGAAATAATGATTTCACGACGAGTCGGTCAATTCCGGCTGCCAATCAAAACCCAGAGCTCTGGACAGCTGTGATTCTTGACAAGCCTAATTCCTCCGACACATCCTGCTTACCCAGGGAGCACAATAGAGCGAGGTCATTCTCATGTAAATATTTAGTTCTTCGTGTTTACAGTAAAGGCTGATCAGCTTGGGTTCTTTCCAGTCCTGCAAACAGACAGAAACTCAAAGTTACCCTTGACTTTGAGCGGTCAGTCTCGAATACAGTACAGCGAAGGTACGTTGTCAGAAACATTAACACGAAAGGTCAAAAATCATCTATTTCATTTTATCGATCGTCCTTCGTCCCTTCTTGTGTGTTGCTGTTTCCCAGAGTGACTTTACTTAAACACTCTGCAAAAGAGGAAACTGATTGCTTCGCTTTCAATGAAAAATGAGTAGCCAACTGCTTATTTACAGCTTGGCAGGACAATTATCAAGGTCGCTTTTCTGCTGCATTTTTTTTTTTCAACTTCTACTCTGAATGAGGAATAATTCCTTAAAATGAATAAAAGGTATGCACGAAATATAAAGAACAACATACATAAAATGACATTTTGCCAGGAAGTTTCAGACAGGTAAAGTTTACCTTTTAACAAAAAAATGTCAATGTCATATAATTGTATTGTTTCTTTAAAAGAATAAACATTTTGGGATTTAAGCATATTTGCTTTCTTGCAACGCGATCAAGAATAAGAAGAAAAGATCAAAAAATATATTGACATATATATATTGATATATATATATATATATATACATATATCTATATACTGTATATCAATATGTATATATTTTAAAACTGTATAATCAGTTAGTTTAATCCAGATAAATGTGCGTCATGTACGAGGCTATGTGGGAAACTATTTCTTGAGGTTTCTGCTGGTTGCCCGGCAATCTCACTGTGATGACAAAACTCAGTATTCCCTTTTTTGTGAGGATTAAACCAACAAGATAAATGACATGCTAATTAGTAAGCTTTAGGGGTACTGTTAGGCAAATTCCATAGATTTTTCACATCAAAGTCTGTTTACAGGTTTCGGGGGTAACTACTGCATGTGTGGGGAACGGTTGTATAAAAGCCTTTTGTGTCTCCAGAGGGCGTTGTGCAAAGTCTGATAAAATCCGCTCATCAGATCTGCTTGAGGCTATAAGCGCTTCGAGGCTACATTAGCTGCTATTTGCATAACAGACCCGAATCTCTGGCCAAACTGTCGGCAGTCGAGTTGCATTGTGGACAACGCAGGCGGCAGTTTTTGAAAAGGAAGAAGAATGCGTGCCGATAGAAATGGCTCTGCTGCATCGATTTCTGACAATAAATGTGTGGAGTTCTCTCTTAGCCAGTTCTAGGTTATCTACTATACAGACATGAGAGTGGCATGTATCTTCTCATCAGTCTCTCAGCAACTATTCCTGTGTGCTCTACTACGACTGCTGTTAACCTTCTTTACTTTCTTCCATGCTAATAATATATTGATTCACATTTCAAATCATTGTTCATCTCTGCTGGGGGATCACAGTTGACTCAACAAAACCACCAGGCAACATCTGTTTCTGTCTACGCTCGGATATTGAAAGTGACATGCTAATTTAAAATCACAAAAAAAAACGACACTTTAAATGTGAACGAGGACAGCTAACACCGCCATGCCGACAGAAAACAAACACGCCGCTGAAGTGGGAAGTAGTGGCAGTCCATCATCATTCCCAGGTTGGCTCCCAGCGGGGTATTCCTTCCTTGCTCTTTCAGAGATCTTTAACTCTGCCCCAGAGGAGAGGCGACGTTTTCCCAGCATATTGTCCCGTCCGCACCCGTCCGCACCAGAACACAGCTTTGTCCACCCTTCCTCACACCTGAAATGCTGTAGGCCGTGTCTGAAAAACATACACAGAGGCCAACACAGGGGCCCCCCAAAGCCCAAAGAGCTACAGACAAGGGGAAAGCGTGAAAGGAAATCCCTGTCAGGACTGCTAACATCTTCACTATTTTAGGAACAGCAAATGTCTTTCACACTCACTTAGAGACGAGAACAACTGCTTGAGTTCAATCTTTTGGCATAGCTGAGAGATGAGCTCTGGATCCTCCACACCTTCCTGTTAAGGTTTCAGACCACTATGGAAAGCAGACCTGGATGTTTCCCTCTAGCTATAGATGGAGACCATACTGTATGTCAAAGCCTGGGAGCTTGTATATTACTGGAGAACATTCAAATGGCTCAGAATAATAAAAACACTTTTATATTGTTTACTATCATTGTGGTTTCTTTTAACCACAACTACAGTCGCTACCTTACACTTACTAAGTAGTTACGGATTCCTGAATTTCAAACCTCAACCATAGAGGTGGCCTATCAGAAAAACTGTATATGACTCTCTTTTGTAACTTTTGTAATGTTTTTAGAAGGAATTACGTCACCTTGTCAATAGAGGCGCCATATCAGAAATCACTCATATGGTGGGGCTGGGCGAAATGGCCAAAATATTCTACATGTCGATACATTTACATCACAATATAGCATATTTTCTGATAATCCAATAAAGAGTCCATATCAAATAACCACATGGTTTTGTATACTATTTAAATACTTGAAAAATAAAAGGTATTTTGCTCATTTAATTAAGAACTGTACTGCTAAATAATCAGATTTTCGAAGAGAGTTCAGTTAGTTTGTGCTTGCTATTATCGACAACGTGTAGACACGATGGCAGGCAATACAGGCTGCTTCCCACACAGATTCTACCTTCCACAAAGACGTACGCCATCAGAATAGTTTGAAAGATAATAAATTATAGCCATCGTCTGAAGATAAAACAGGACAACAAAGCTGAATATATATTCCACAATAAACACAACATGGGGACATATGCAGGTGTAATCCAGTGTACAGACGGATGTGTCGGGACATGATTTATGATGCTGAGAGATGTGCAGAGCTCTGAGATAAATCGCTGCTGTAGCTGAGTCTCAATGACGGATGCTTCCCTCACAATCAGGTGAGAGATCGCACAGGATGCCGATTGCAAATCGTTTTGAAATGTCATGACTGACTTGCATGTCCTGAGAGACAAGACATCAAGATGTTGGCGGTGTATTTTGGGAGGAAAATCTGAAAAAGATGCATCTACGATAGAAGGAAGATTTCAGCCCCTGCTATTTGAAATGCTCAAGTACAGTAAGATGGACTGTTATGTCTATCACAGCGCAGCAAGAGTGTCTCACACCAGAGGGCAGAGGACATTACGCCCACATGGAGTCAAGCTAAAGCTCTTTGAAGTCGAGAAAAACATTTCACAGATCATTCAAACTGATTTAATTCATGACAAACGGGCTGGTGTCCTCTGAGCTCAGCAGTCCCGACGCGGTCTATTTCCAGGGCGAGTTTGAGGCTGATGTGCGCCACATTACTTGTCAAGACTGTGGATCTCTTATATACTATATCACATGTCATCCTCAGCGGCTCTCTCATAACTGCCGAAGGAGATGCTGCCAAGTCACAACTTAATGCGCGCTATAGGTTACAGAGGGCTGCTGGCCAAAACAGCCACCGACAACTCAGACACTTCAGATAGATGGGAGGTATAGGAAGGGGGTGATTCTGTACTGTAGGTGACTCTCGCCCCCATGTTGCTCCAGGACCTGCTGGCTCTTTCCCTCATGTTTCACAATGATGAAGATGTTTTGTGCCAGATGTCAATACCTTCCATATAGATGTGCAGTATAATGTGTACACTGTGTTTCCAAACTGTGAGACACCAGATATGTCATCCTGTCTGCTGCATTAACGATTTGAGGAGAAAAGATATAATCCCATTATTAATCCAATTGTTTGCCCTCCTTCAAATATAATTAAAAGCTTGTTGCTCCGACGTACGGCCATGTGAAGCAAATGCCAAAGAAAAGCAAACACATCGATTCATACGAGTTCGTGGCTGATAGCATATATCGTCATGATAATAAACACATTTTTCCAGCTGTGACCTTTCATGCTGAGTGTCTTGACAGATTGTTATGACTGTGATCACTCAGTTAGCTCATTTATCTTAATGTGCTTTAAACAGTGAGGTGAAAATAAAACCGACGTGTAGGTGGACAGTGAGAAAGCACAGCTGCAGCTGTGAACTCTGGTTAAAGGAGACTGTGCTACACTTCTCTACACAAGGCTGCAGCTTCAAAGAGACAATGACTCAACAGTGCAGGTGAACTGAGACATCA